CGACTTTTCTCTCCGGCTTATTTTCCTCGACAACTCGCGACAGGCCTTTGTACCTGTCCTTTGTTTCTCTCTAATTCGTCCCATGGCGTCTTACGGACGGAGACAATGAGTCGGATGCGCCGAGATGGACGGTGCTTTTACTGCAACGTTATCTCGTCCCGGTTGGCATTACGGTAAATGGGAAGGAGCCATTCTTCCGAGAGCAATTTTCGTTGGAAAACTAAACGACTTGCTGACCGCTCGGAACGAAACCGAATCGACGCGCCGGGAGATGGTACGCGAATAAAAGTAAAACCACGCGCGCATGACTTCAATTTTAAACTTCGGCCTGGAGCATATGGAGAAACGTAAGCAGCGAAACGTAAGCAGTGAGCAACTCGACCAATCTCAATCAACTATCTTTATGATTTATTAAGGATTTATTAAGGAAAAAAAAATAGAAGTAACTAATTTCAATGTGTGTGATTAGTTACTTCTATTTTTTTTTCGTCTTCTATGCTTTATTTACAATCTGTCCTAGGATAATAAGTAAAATTTTTTGATAAACTTCTATTTAAAGCTGTACTTATCATCACTTCTATCATCTTTTGGAATACATAAATCTAAAGAAATATACTGATTGGTCAATCAATTTTCTCACTGCTTAAGTCTTACTGCTTACGTTTTTTTTCTATATGATCTCGGCCTTACCGTCGTCGTCGTCGTTGAATCGATTTCACGCGTCAAAGAAGAACGTATCGGCAATACTCGTCTATGTGGGAAAAGAAACTCGCGTTCGCGAGTCGATTAAGTAATTAACTCGACGCGCCCTCTTCCCGCGCGCGCGCGACGTCTCGATGTCCCCTAACGCGTCTCGCGATTCTTATCGCGAAAAACGACGCGGCCCGCTAATTGCGAGTAATATCGATCGTTGGTGCGAGTCGCTGGCGACAATGCATGAAAATGATATGGTAGCTGCGGAGAAAAGGTCACGTGCGCACACACGGCCGTGTCGTTAATAACGCCATTAGACGGGACATCTAGTCGCGTCGGTGACTGGGTAATAGCCGGTGGGAGAGACTTCGGTCTCTTCCCCCTCCTTATTCGATCAGGTCATCTGCTTTACGTGAGAATTAACGCCCTTATCGCGCAGCAACGAACTTCTTGCCTCTTCCCTTTCGTTCGCGATTGATCACTCGCGGCGTAGTTACGCGTCGGCCGAATTCTCACGTGGAACAATCGATTTCGTCTCTCCGAAACCACAAGCCGCACATAATCTACGCGTTTATTACGTAAGCACGATTCGATTCGGCATCATTCATAAACCCGGAATTAATTCTCTCCTTGAAATACCACGAATACCGTTAATAAATTCTCACGAACGCTTCTCGCAAGCGGTTTCTCGAAGGCACTCTGGTGTCTTTTCGGGAGAGAGTTTGATCTTTGCTGTACGAAGAGAGAAAGTCTAATCTTTCACGTAGTAACGATAATTTCAAATTAGGACAGGATGAACACATCCAATTCGTTATATGACTAATGTACAAATGTAGAGATAAAGATATTCTCTCGATTCTCTCTCTCTCTCTGCTCTCCCCCTTTCTCTCTGTCGCTTTTACACAGGTATTCGGTTCCAGTTGAGATTCATATTTTATTCACACGATGCAAAAAGCCCCATGTATTGTTGTCTATTCGGCATTAAAACGAAATGAAGATACAACGACGACTTCTTTTCTAGATGTGACGATTTTCGTGACGTCCGTTTTTAATGGTGCTTCGAGAAAAAGAAGACGCGTACCGGCTACGCACCTGTGCGAGAGATTGGCCCTCGCACAATAATAACACAATTAGAAGGAAGCTCAAATGTGTAATCCGGCGCGAGATCCGGCGTAAACCGGTTACGAGAGACATTTATTGCGACTTAACGCATCGTTTAATGCGAGATTCGCGTCAAAACAGCCAATACCAATGAGTCAGCAGTAAAATAAACTATCTTGCATTGCGTATGTTGGTGGTTTATCGGCACATGTGACAGAAAACTGCCGGATCAAGAGCACCGAAAACAATCCCCGCGATCGGGCCGCGAATTGATAAAACTTTTATAAAAACACAGATAATGTTGACGTTAAAATTATCGCTATCTTGTGTGCATATCGCGGACCGTAACTTTGATAACAAATTGCTTCGACTCAAACTTCACTTGGGATATAACGACAAATGAATATGTGACGTTCCAAAACGGTATACGAGTATATTTCTTTTCACATCTCTATTTATATTTGTCAATTATATTTTTCTCTTATATATTTTTTATTTTATTATTTCTATTTATGCAGATATCTTGTCAACGAGATCGAAAAATTCAGTTTATCGTTCAAGGAGAGAAATTGAGACAAAATTATGCTAAAAGAATTCCTTAATATTTTCTCCGTTTGTCCGATTAAAAGTGAAAGGGACAGTTCCCTACTTTCTTCCTGCGTCTCTTGCTTTCTCCGATTTTTCAGCGGAGCGATAACTCTATCGTTCCATAAAAGTCCCGGCCAGCAAGGGTTAAATAACGTTTCAATTTTCGCGAAAAGCTTTCGCTTCCGCGCGATCGATCGTCCATAACGAAATCTCTCGACTCTCGGTCACTCGATGGGAAAGTACCATAGTGCTATCTCCGTCGTCGGGTCAGCTCTCTCTCTCTCTCTCTCCCTCTCTTTGAAATTAACGAAATCCTCTCTGCCCCTGGAGACTTCGTTTCTCGAGTAACTCAACACTCGTCTCGCCGAAGGATCGCGTTCTCGGTATCGCGCATCGTCATCGGGGAAACTTTTCGCAGAGAATGCCGCGGCAAGGCCGAAGGACAGATTGTTTGGAAAAACGAGAAGTTTTGCTTGCCGATTGAGGGCTTCCGCATTGCGTTTGCGGATTCTCGAACTACCATGCCAAGCGCAACTTGCGGAGCGAAGACTTGAAGACGTGCCAATAAACAGTTAAGAAATCTGCGGTCTAACGTAATTTCGGGACGCAATACGTCATATATGCGGGAGCTTGGGACATTTGGTCAAGCTGATACGCCGAGCTACGTGGAACCGATTGACAGACGGCTGATTGGACACGATTTCGTTAATGAGATTCAGCATTCCTCACAGCGGAGTGGAAATTTATTTCTTTGAGCCGGCAAGAATTTAAAGATATTCAAATTCGGAATCCAGTATAATATTTGCATGAAATTATGCAGAACACAAGAGTGAATTACAGAAAAGAATTTTTGTCGTGACAGAATGCAAACGCCGATAAACTCTTCCGCGTGCTTACTCGGCTTCATGAAAAATGCTCGCGCAATTGTCTCGATAGACGTTTTGACACACCCGATCGTATGAATTATTCGCTCGTGTTGCTCGGGAAACCTTTCAGTGGAACAAATTCGTTCGATCAACCGCGATATCGGCCGCCATTATTCGCTTCGGCGCGAAGAGAGAGAGAGAGAAAGAGAGAGAGAGAGAGAGAGAAAAGAACGAGAAAAGTTCCGGAGAGAATTTATGTCGGCGACATTCGTTTCGGTTTTCGCGAAAGTCACGCGCATATTTTATCACCCGCCGTATATCAGGCCGCGGATACAAGAGGATCAGCGTGACGTAACTAGAAATTTTCGACTCACGCGCGTATTGCGTAAATAATACTCCGTAAAATGTCATGCGTTTCGTGAAGGTTTCTCTCGTCGTCGTCGTCGGCGAGATATCTCGCGACGTCGGACGAGAGAATGTCAACGTCGCGAGCAAGAAACAAACCGCGGTTCGACTGCGCGGAGCATTCGGAAATGCTTTGAAGGATTTACTCCGTAGCCCATGTTATTTGTTATACCGTGTACATATCGCGGCCCGCGTGCGTCGTAAGACTACGATGTATAGTCCCTCCAATGTTCTTGCTTTACGTTAGCAGCAAATAATGCAGCATATTCGCCAGAACTCGGGAACGGAGAGTTACCGCTCTCCACTGCGGTCGAATAGATTCGCATGTCCACATTGAGAGATATATAGTGTGCACACACATCTTTCTCTATATATGTCTCTCTCTCTCTCTCTCTCTCTATCTCTAGCTATCTATCTCCCTCGCCGGAGCTCTCAATAATTTAATACCGCGGCAGAGATTAATTAATGGGTCATGTTTGATCTAATACCACATGTACGGCCAATTATAGATCCCGATCTTTTCCGCTTCGTCGTTTCATGTTCAATGAATAATTCGTATCGCGTTGTCGCACGAAGAAACTACCAGCTATATGGAAAACTCGTGTTGCTGTCGTTCTTCAACTTCCGCGACCATATTTTATCGCGGGAAGAATTGCTGCGTCGCGCGTCCCTCGTCTCTTCATTCGTTAACACATTGAACGCCTTGACGGCGACGGGCGCTATGGCGCTACCCGCATTTCCGATTAGGTTACGCGTAAAGTATGATTGATTGTATTTATAAAATCGGCCAACAGGGAGCCAATGAAACAGAATAAAAAGATTTAACTGGAATTATGTATTTATTCATCATATCTTGGCTTATTCAGTCATCACTCGAGTTTTCGTGCAATCGGTGTTATTATAAATCAGGAAATAATAATCGTTCACTCGAGAAATTAAAAACTAAACTATATCTAACTAACGGTAATTTTACAAACCTTCTCGATACGCGAAGAATTAATTTAATTTAATCTTTTGATCGCGCGGACGATCTGGAACTATATTCTGCATAATAAAAAATTATGTGTTAAATTCAACACCTTTTATATGTCAAAATAGCCCACACAATTTTTTGTGTTAATTTAACACAAGGTATATGTTAAAAATGTTGAAAATCCACAAATATGTAAAAAATTAACATAAAATTAACGCCTATAATATGTTAATCGACACTGAAGCATAAAATATGTTATTTTAACATTTGACAGCAACGTCACATATGTTGAATATCTCAACAAAAAATATATATATATACATTAAGATAACATAAACACAATATGTTAAATTAATACATAGGTATGTCAAAAATTTAAAACAAGAGCAAGGGCCGATTTTAGTACAAAATATTTTTGACCGTGTGGCACATAATGAACGTTAAACGTGCCCGGCTGATTCTAAAGTTGTGAAACGAAGTTACACGCGATGTTCATATAAGTAAAATTAAATTTAGAATTAAAAAGGCATATTACATCACATTCGCAATACTTGCAGAATAAGACTTCTGTGCGGGCGCACGCATCCGGATTAAATTCGCGAGTGCCACGCGGGCGATAAACGCCCATGCGTTCGCCGCGTTCCGCATTAAGACAGGCACAAGCGGCGCGCTCGCAAGTTATTACGGTGTAATTACAGTTTAATTAACATATTGGTCCGTCACCCACACACTCGGCCTGATTACGCCGACCTCGCGGTCGATCCGTCGTCCTTTGGACGAAGGAAGAGCGAAAGAGCGTACGTCGCGACGCGTGCGCTCGTTTCTGAAATAATAATTAATTATCCGATGCCACCTCTCGGGCATGCCGTTCGCGTCTGTTTAATGCCTCACGGGCATGAATCTTAATTAAGACGCGTCCAGATCAGCCACGGTAGACTTTAGGGCCGCCTCCTCCTCCTTTTACGAACGGGACTAACGAGACGGTTTCGTTGCGCAAGCTCTCTCTCTCTCTCCCTCTCTCTCCCTCTCCTGTTGCCGGTCGTTTTCACGAAAGTCCGTTGAAGACGCGTAATTAAGTCGCTCCGTTGAATTCTTAGAGCGCGCGCGCACGGAAGATCGCGCGGATAGCGAAGAAAGTTTTTAAAGAGCTAAGAATAAAAGTCGAATGACGCCGATAGGTGCCATTTCGATGTCCAATTAGTGTGATCTTCCGTGTCGATTGTCAGGATAAATTCTCACCGTTATTTTATTGCGCGTTGCTCTCTCTCTCTCTCTCTCTCGATTGAATTATCAAGAAGTTAATTGGTGAATCGAACTAATTAGTTAATAATATGTTTGACGTTCGACTCTAGTTACGAATAGATCACGTTCCAAATATAATTGGGGGAAAAAAAGAGGGAAAAAATCGACGTCGACGCCGGTCGGACTTTAAAATACCGATATTATCAGAGCACATTAAATAGGAATGCCTGGGCTTGAACATGCGATATGAAAGCAGCGTGACGCGAAGTAATTACGAATCCTTGTATTATATTAACCATATTGTCGCGATAAGCCTTCGTTACGTTTAATATTCAAGAGAAGGAGAAGGTTAGAGAAGGATAAGGGAGAATCCTTCAAATAGCCGCGAACGTAGCGCTTTATTCGCAAAGGAATGAATAGTAATGTTCTCGATCACGCGATCGCATCAATCGTTGTCGCACGAAAAACGTATACGACAATATACGATTAAATAAATTGCTTTATATCGCCTCGTTTATACGCCGAATGTCGGCGCACAGTGAAGAGTAATTTACGCTTTAGCGCACGGAAGAAGTCGTAATTTCCCAATTTCGGAATTTAATGGAACAAAATCACGCGTGCGCCTCGTACACGTTACGCGCGAAGAAACACCGACAATTACGCACGTTAAACCGGGCAGCTACGTCCGGACAAAATAAATATTTACGCGAATGCAACATTGTGCGATGGACGCGTATGTACGCGAATCGTGTTCTCTTAATAGAGCGAAGCGATAATCGCGCGACGTTCAGGTCGCAGAATCATCCACCGCGCGATAAGATTATTACGAGTTACGACGTTCTCTTATCGCTTCACCTCCTCCTGCTCCTCCGAACCGTCGCTCGGTTTCTGCAATATTGGCCGTGGACACGAGCGGATAACGACAGCGACACGAGGTATTTCGCCGCGGGACGATAAATGGAAATACAAAGTGACGCACGTGGCTGTAAGTCACGGACGACACGAGCGAGAGAGCGAGCGAATAACACGGCGATCCCTTCACGATCGCGCACGTTTATCAGCGGCGGCGCATTACGCAATTTCACGCTGAAGGTGTACGTGAGATTTTCACGTTTCTTGCGCTTTCTCCGCGAGAACCGGCTGATCAGTTTCCGTTTAATAACGAGCTAACCATTTATTTTCCTGCGCGTTTATTTTCCAGCGCGGTCTCGGAAGCAGCCGCAAGGCGCGTGGAAAATATTAACTTCGTCGTTGGCCCCTACGCTCGAAGCACAAGTTTAATTCCCACCGGTGTTACGCTCTTTAATTGCGGTAAATAAGCTTTCATTCTTCTTAGCGGAAGAGAAATTAATGAGATCTTAAAAGAAAAGAAAAATCGTATCTTAAGGAGAGAGAGAGAGAGAGAGAGAAGAGCGTTTAATATAATCCTAGAGCAAGGTCTTTTAAAGACTTAAAGTATACATGCTAAACGCTAATCATATTAATGAGTTTATATATCAATAGAAGTAAGTAGTTATAAATAAATTACATAAATTAGTTTAAAACAAGAAAATAATAAAAGAGAAGAAAAATTCAAAGAAAAAAAAATGCATTGGAAAGAAAAATTATTACAGTCTGTTGACACGTAGATAAAGAAAAAGAGTTATTAAAGAATTTTACAAAGAGAGAAATAAAATAAAATGAAAGAGATGAAAAAGAAAGAGGAGGGAGTAAGAGGGAAAAAGAGAGAGATAGATTTATTTAAAATTAATGGGGAGACCTCTTCTCAAATACATAGTATTATGATATAATGTGTCGAAGTTTCATGTAAATCTTAAATACAAAAATACTCCATTAATAATGTTCTTATTCTTTAGATACGTAGTGACATCGGAAATTTCCAATTAGGTGCATCATTTCTAAATATTTGTGCATCATGACTGCTGCTTTGGAGCATCGTTATCGGTTTACAAAATAATCAATCATAATGCACGAATATTCAAAATGATACCAATTAGAAATGTCTGGTCTAATTAGAAATTTTCGACGTTACTTTGCTGAGGGAATGGGACAGTCTCCTATACATAAATACATACAATAAAAAAAGTTGAGTACATTATTATGTGGTGTGAAAATAGGATGCAAAAGGAAGTTTCGAAATGAAAAGGAATATGGATACGCACACATCGTTATTATATCCGCTAAGATTGCGAAGAAGTGTGACCGTTATAGTGGAACTACGCTAAGAAGAAAGAGAAAGAGTGGGCGTCGTTTGAAGGATACATCGCGAGAGGGCCGGCCTCGAGGGGGATAATTAACGTGGGGAAAAAATCGATAAAGCAGAGCTATCGATAAAAATAAGGGCGAATCATACGGCCGATTAATTGCCATCGGGTTTGCGGATTTTTATCTCTTCTGGAAACGTAACGGTATATGATTAAAAACCGCCGCCGGTGTATGCGTTTCGCGCATCGAGAGCCTCTCTTGATTCTCGTTGCGGCTACCTACGCGTATCACTCATTTGTCGGTCGATATGTAACGTACGTAACGTACGCACAACGCCACGGCGGGACAAAATGCAGATAAATGCGCATACCGCGCTACTACGTGCTTCACGTACGTAAGAATTGCGGACACGTGGCGCCCGGTTTTTGCCAACCCGGCGCGATCGAGACCCGCCCGATTGCATTCGTTGGCATTCGCCGATCGTTCTTTCCATCTTTCTTCTCTCTCGCTCTCCTTCTCTCGAGTGTTAAGTGTTTTTCTATGAAACGCTGTACGCCGCAACGATNCCCCCCCCCCCCAACCCGTCGATCGTAACAGGTGACGGTCGGCTATTTACGCGCTCGCATACGTTCGACCCAAGAAACGCGGGCAAAAACGATTTTCCGCGCTCGATGTGCTCGACGAATTACGAATGGAAACTTTTCTCCACGCCGAGGTGCGAAAACCGCTTTTTGTACTTTTATTAGATACGCCATAGCGTGTCTAGCCTGGAGGATGAATTTACGCGAGTAGAATGACAGAGATCTCATCTTATGAGGAATTTCCTCCGTTAGTCAAAAAGTTCGATTGAATTATCCGCCCACTTCGACGACAAACTGGCCGCTTTCTACGATAAAGATTCACGGAAGTATTGCGAGAATATCGGCAGTGGATCGTAGACAACGAGGGCGATTAATTGATTGATGAATGATCCGTCTCCCTTGAGCGCAATCGAGTCAACTTTGACCGCAAAACTGAACCGAACTTCTCGATCAATTTGACGTTCGGCTTGAATTTAAAGCAGTTGGTCCGTAATACCGGATTTTCACTGGCGACATTATAAGAAGCCCTTTAATAGTTTGTTATTTACTAAAACAAAAAAATACTTACCTACAATTTTATTTAACTGTTTAAATAATGAATGTTAATTTTAAGCGAAATTAAGGCAAATATATGCAGAATATTACAATCATGGATATATTATTTATTTTTTTATTAATTTATTTATTTATACGTCAGTTGAGCTAATAAAGATGCACATATAATAGAAAGTGGTATATAAATATTTAAATATGTATGTACATGTGCATATATATCGCAACAATATTATATTATAAATTGTAAATTTCCTGTGATTATATATTCAAAACAAAATGTTCAAAAATTCTGAAATTGTTGTATAATTTCTCAACATTAGTCTTTAACATTATAATGATAATAATTCATTAAAATTCTAAATGTGGTTTAGAAAAAATAAAAAAAAAAGTTAAAAATACTACATTTTTATATAATCTTATGGAACGCGTAAAAGTGTCATTTTTAGTTGTGAATATTTCAGCTTCCGAATATCGTTTTCTAACTTTATAAACGTGTAGATTATTTCCATCAATATGCAGCTAACATTTAGAATTGATTTCCATGAAAATGACAGATCGACGATCGGGGTTCTTCGCAATCGCGGGTTTCTCTTTCACGCGCGCCTCGCAATCGTTCGCGCGCCAAACAAGTACACTCGCATGCACAGTGCAACTTCTCGCACGACGATGCGCATTCTTCGGATGACGCTCATCTCCGCACGTATGCGTCTATCAACATACGGCCGGTTTTTCTTTGACGTCGCGCATTTCTTGCGCATGGTGACTCGTGCACTTATACGAGCGTTGAAATCGTACTGAGAACACAAATTGCCGACTGCTGTCGGAGCCTATCGCGAAATACCCGATCAGATTAGGCCGTGGAGAAAGACCGGCAAACTTTGACACGTTGATGCGGTCACCCATATCTGGGTGACGTGCGAGTTTCCTCCGTTTGTGGCTCCGACGGTTTTATTTACCTAATTAGGAATGATTTTACTGCACAGTGAAAATGTTGTTGCGCCAATAGAATGGACACAGACATTTAATTAAAATTAATCATTAAGATATTTCATTAATAAAAATAAATACGCTAGATTTATTGAGCCTGATGTGTTGGACTCACGCGTGAATTCAACGTGGCCGTCAACGGGTTAAACTCGAATAAATTGTTCGAAAAGATCCGACGATTGTTGGGATTTTGTGAAGAGGAGACATTGTGGAGGTTTTGGAAATATAGTTCGGCGTTTTGAGGGCAGGGATCGCTCGTCGACGAGCTATTTATTTTCCGACGTCGAATTCCCGTCGATAATGAAAGCAACCGTTCATTATGTCAGCTTGGTTGATATTCAAATGTCAGAGTTAAATATAATTGAAGGAGCACTTGATATTACGGCACGCGCGCGCAGTTCTGAACTGTGTGCGCAGCTCACGCGGATAATACGCGGGAATAGTTAGATGGCTTTGCGCGGAACTCGCCTCGCCTTATTCAGTGTATTTGTAATCAATGATGCGCACAACTGCTCCCTGTGCGCTCGTATTGGCAAATCGTCGAAGTCTTCAGTACACACACCCCCCAAGTGGAATTCGATCTCGCACGTGAACGATTAATTGCCGTAATTTCGAAACAATTTCGCCCGTATCGCGATGCACATTGTAAAGTCCTTTTCACTCAGAATGAAACGAACGACAATTTAAATATTAGTCCGTATTATTCCATAGCCCGTCATTATTTGACAAATAATCATCACTTCGTGAATCTCCGACTACTCATCGCTGTGTACTTATTTCATACGAACAATATTGATCCACGGGGCACGAAACAGCTGAGTAACGGCCCGGTGAATACCAAACTGTAATTAATTATGATCTCAGTCAAGAGTTGCAAGTAATTCTCGCGACTATAAATACCGACGAGGAAGAAAAGAAACGAGAGAGGTGCGCAGTGAAGGTAGCAGTTCCGAGTTTTCAGAGTACTCGTCCCTTTCTGGATTTGAGAAACTCAAAGACTCTCTTGTCATATCAACCGAGAAATGTAGATAAACTTGTGGAAATATGCAGGAACGAGATATAAAATTACTTTAAAGTTCGTTTCTTCATTAAATTTGCTTTTGTTAAGTGTAAATTTGTTAAGTCGAGCTTAATGACGACAAAAACTTGAAACGCACTTCCAGCGTAATATCTCATTCAGATCTATTGTTATTGCTTTACCGTACATATTTTCCTCGTTGTATACTATGCGCAACCTTATTAACACCGGCTCGCAAAATTAAATTCGCCTGCGTCGGAACAAGCCTTTGAGCAACCCTCTTAGTTAAGTTAAGGGGAGCGTTTCGATGGGACTTTGCTCGAGCAGCGTGAATGCAGATCTCGCATCTCCCGCCGTTGCACTCATTGGCCTAGTTCGGAGGATACAATTGGTCCGCATACCGAGCACCGGCTTCATGATGAATTGCACTTCAATCTTACATTACGCCGCAGACGGCTGTGAACGGCGCCGGCCTCGCGTGTCGCGAAGTATAACGTTGCGCTCTCCATTATTCTATTGTATACTAAGAATGAAAAATGGACTGTCGCATTATCGATGTTTTGGATCAGCCGGCTTTTTACGCTCGTGAAAATGCGATAGACTTGTGCAGCGCAGGCTTCTTCTCTCTCTCTCTCTCTCTCCCCCCTTTCCTTCTTGGCTACCAGGTGAAGTATGCATGGAAGTTGCATCGTCACGCAAACAAAGCTTTTAATCTTCGCTAAATAACAGTTATAAAAAAAGTCACGCGACCCTCGCTCAGAAGCAAATAATACATCTCTCTCGCGCGTTTAACTTTATATTAAACCTCGACACGTGAACCGATGGTTTGTACGCGAGAAATTGCAGATACTTGCGGAAATAGGAAATGCTGCGGAAAGGTCGTGGATATAATTCACATGAATCTTTTCGCGTGGCACATTTCCAACAAATTAGAAGACAAGAGGAGGGACGGGGAAGACGAGGTCGTCTGTGGCTCTTGGGGAAAAGGAACATCCCTTCTTCGTTTGAAACACATAGACAAACTCAATTTCTAATACGAATAATCGCACGATAACGAATTCAATAATTCATAAGGTCTATCGGAATCAACAATCTCCTGTTTCGCCACTTTGTGCGATGTGGGAAAATATTCCTGATTTTGTCGCAGCGCCTATCGCGAAACGGCGCGGAACTCGCGAGTTTCGCGGCGACGAGTTTTTGTGCGCGAGCGGGAAAAAAGCCGCTCGTATCTAAAGGAACGCAGACTCATCTTACACGTGTCGGCGATCCTGCCCTCCTCCTCTCTTCCCCCTTCTCCACTCCCCCCTCCCCTCTCTCTCTCTCTCTCCTTGCGCTTGAGGAGAAGCGTATAACAAATATCTATGAATCTATTTAACTATCTATCTATCTATCTATTTATTTATCTGTGTCACTCCCCTCTATCCCTTTTTATTTATCTCTCCCTCTCTCTTTCCTCCTTTCTTGCTTCACCTTTCTCGCTTTATCTCGGAAACGAACGCAATCTGGGCCACGAGATCGGCCATTTAAATTTCATATTTCTACCGTTTTGACCGTTATGAACAGTGGCGCGCAGTCAGATTTTCATCACAAAGCGCGCGCTTCTATACAGCTCCGCGGGATTTAACCGCGAGCTTCGCTCATCCCGTTTCCTCTCACGGTCGACTCCGATGTTTAACTGATCATTGCATGCATTCGCACAGCTATTGACCCGAAGGGTGGCTACACCACACGACGGTGTATATGGAATTGATAAATGCATCTCTCGTGTTTACTCGGCGCGCCGCAAATCGCCTCAAACGACAGTCGTGATTTCGACTGTCGCGTTTGCGTGAGACGCCACGATATTCGTCGGTGGTCCTGTGAGATCAACACGACGGATATCAATAAAACGCATCTTTCGCGTCTCTTCGTGTCAAGTCTCCGTCGTAATTATGACATTTGTTATCACTTCAATTCGACACTTGTGCAAACGTCGTTCCGCGCGAAAGCGCGTACCGCATATTATGGGATAATTAAATTATTTCTCTTCGTGTGTAACGCGATTCAACATAATTTATCGACCGGTGCTACTCGATATACTCCTGTGGTCGCAGAGATCGCGTGTTTTACCTTCGATGCTCCTTCAAGGACTATGTCGAACACGTTAACGCGTTCGCTATCAGAATTTATTTGGATAACTTTCTTCCCACAGACCAGTTCACATTTTTATTTGTTTTATATAATTGTGCAAAGTAGACTTAGTTTGATCTTTCCAGATAACATTTACGTCTTTTAGACAATAAAATATCTAAAGGACGTTCATGAAATAACTTCTAGACATAGATATTGCTTGGGCCGCATAGAAATTTTCCCAGATTTTCCCATATATAGCACAGATTCCGATTAGAATGTTCAAAATTATTCTAAAACGGGTTATCCCATAATGATACTAATTGGGAATCCCATTTTTATCCCAGTGGGATGAAACCCCCTTTTCCACGATGCTAATTAATTGTACGTTGCGCCTTGCTTCGTATCGCGTGCGATTGCTAGAGCCGAGTGACAGTTTGACTGAATATCAGATTAGGGGATTAATAAATGAGAGGTTATATTTTAATATTACTGTACCTGATGACGCGCACATAATGTGTGTATATAATATATACGCACATATATTATATGTGCGTATTCTTGCAAAGTATAAAGGCTCATATTCTCAATTCACTTTTATCAATAAAAGTGCTCTTAAATGTGGCTCTTCAACCAATCAAGTTTCTAAGCCACTTTTAGGGGCATCTTTATCAATCAAGATAAGTTGAGAATATGAATCAAAATATTTTGTATATTTTGTTCAATTATGGTATAAAATAGATACCAGAAAAAATCTTTGGGGAAACGTTAGGTGACCAAATAGAATCTGTTTATGTTTCCCATTCAAAATCGTATGTTTTAAATACTATGCTTCTAATCAGAACCTGCGTAGATTTCCCGACTAGAATCCATAATTATTTTAGGAAATCGGACTGAGTGCCAATTATATCTGGAGAAATTTTCTATATGGGACCGACACAGGAAGAAAATTAATTGCCGTCTCATGTATATAACGCTGGTCTCTCGTGAGCGATCGTTGCGTCACGCACGTGTGACGTTGATGAACGAACATGTTAACGAACGTACAGAGGTGAATGTACGAGGGTGACGTGAATCTTGCGACGTCGTTTTGTGAATCTTTCTTCCGCCAGACGGAAGGTCACTTAAGAGCTCCGGATTTATCTATTCTCGACTCTGGTTGGAGGAGGGAGGAGAGAAAGGGCGGGCAGACAAGAGAGAATAAGAGAGAGAGAAAGAAAGAAAGAGAGAGAGAGAGAGAGAGAGAAAAGGTAAGGGAGAAAGAGTGACTTATCGGCATTTCGACATTGCTCGTTATCGTGGATAAACGAGCGGTCCGTGCATCGGATCGCACGAGACCCCGTACGCTTCATCAACACTTTATTTATAAGTCATTCGCGCGGCGCCGTTTGAAAAGGTTTAGTCGACGGCGCTTTCCGGTACGTGATTATTTTATGCTGTCAGACATCGTACCCGATTATATCTCGGCGCAGACGCGCGCGCACGATATAATTCCGCGCGCACACGGCGCATTAGCTGTCTGACATTTTGTTTGCCGACTTACCGCCGTGCCCCCGGTGCGCTCGGCGCGACGACGGATTAATGAGGCGGCAGCGCTTTGATAAAAAAAGAATCCCGCGCGTTTTATATAGAAGGACGGTAAATATGTCGCGGGGCGTGCGACCACCGGAAGTTATTTCGATCACTGTTCGCGGAGAAAAGGTTACATCACTCTAATTAGATGACGGTGCAGTTTCCTTCGGCGAAAGAGTAAAAAAAAAAAAATGAAGAAAGCTCAACACGTGTATTACGTGTTGCACGCGTTGCGCACACAATGAACCGCGACATTTTCCCTCACACGGCCTCTTCGTGTCATAAATTGATCGTGATTTTTGCCGATGTTTGCGCGAGACAAGCGTTGTTTTTCAAGATTTCGGCGGCGCGACCATGAGAAAATGTTCAACCTTGACTGAGCAGGCGTTCTTCTCTTCTCTTTTGCAGACGCGGTGCGATCGACGAAGAGTCACCCTCTTACTCGAAGGTAACGGTCTCGCCTTCAGGCACACAGCTGTCGGTGGACGCGCGAGCTGGCCCATCGCGGGTGTCGTCCGAGGAGAGTTCCGACAGCGGAGAGATCCAGGAGATACGCAAGGACAGCGCGCTCTACCTCGAGGAGGCGGAGGGCTCGAAGAAGACCGCGCGGTCGCGTCCACCGGGTATCTTCCGGAAGGCCCGACGAGAGAGCAGCGGCTACGCGACCAGCGTGGGTAGCTTGGACGAGGAGAGGAAGGGCAGCGTCTCGTCGGAGAGTCAGCAACAGCAGGACTCGTCCCAGTCCCAGTCCCCGTCCCAGTCCCAGTCGTTGAAGGAGAAGCGCAGAATCACGAGGATACCCAGGGCTGAAGAGAGCCTTGGCGAGAAGACGTCGATCGGCACATCGGAGAGGATGCCGACGACAGAGATACACAGGAAGGTGTCGAGCGCCGGCCTCGATATGCCCGACATCGAGGAGGTGAAGGAGGTCCTGAGGGAAGAGACCTCGCCTCGGCAGGGGAGCCGTCAGAATCTTAGTAGGGACGCGGAGACGGCGGGAGCCGGTAAGTAAACCGCGTCACACTATCCAGCGAACCCGGTGCCGTCCCGCAGTTGTATTTGATATTGCCGTAATAGAGCGCAGATTCCCAAAATTGGACGGCGACCCTTGAAGAGAAACGGGGGGACGGGGGTGGTAATGGTTCCTCCGGAGAAACGTATCTCGAGCGAGAATATTCGTGAGCGCCCCGGCGACGACGGCAAGTCGCACATATATAAATATATATAATAATCGTTTTACGATCGCAAAAGTCGCTGTACTACATACTACTTACACCGTACATACATACATACATAAATATATATACATAATAAAAATAGTTTGCCCCCCTTTTTTCACGAAGACTAACGAACGGCACAGCCCGCAGCTAGTTTCTCCCGCAGTTGGTTTCGCTAGATTTCGTCAACGTTTCGCCCATAATGTCTGTGAACTGCAAAACATTTTAGCATCTAACTGCCACTATGAGCGAGAAACGGAGAGAAAGGGAAAGGGGGAAAGAAGGAAGAAAGAGAGAAAGAGAGCGAGAGAGAGAAAAAGAAAAAAAAGACAGGGGGAGAAGGGGGAGAAAGAAAGAAAGAGAGAGAGAGAGAGAGAGAGAGAGAGAAAGAGAGGAAGAGAGAAAGAGGTCGAAGTTAAAGCCAGATTGAAACAAAGCGGAAACTAAATAGATCCGTTAGGAGATAGAGGTAACGGTGGAGTTTCCTAAGTTTTTCCTTTTATGTGCCCGTAACCAGACCACTTATCAGCGCAGCCCCGGCTCCCGAGGGAGGCGGCTAATCAGACGCTCGCTGTGAAAAGCGACGTCGCCTCCGGCGTCGTTTCTTCTGCGGCGTCCCACGACGGCCTCCCGAAGGAGTCACTCGACACCGGCAGTCTGAAGGAAGCGCTCCACCGTATCTCCTGCGAAACGAACCGCAGGCTGGACAGGTCGGCCGTCGGTCTGGGCTGCGGGAAGACCCGGGAGACGTCACCGGTGGGATCCCGCGAGGATCCGCCGTGTTCCGCAGAGCGTGTCACGGCCGAGATCGCAGGCAGGAAGGATGAGAAGGTGGCGTGTTCCAACGACACTTCGTCGGGGAGCGTCGAAGCGTCCAAGGCCGAGAGGACGCCCGTAGTCGTCGCGTCGTCGTCATCCGCCAAGACGTCGGTCAAGGTGTACCAGCTACTGGCGACCCAGTCGGAGGATCGCAGCGATGGCGAGCTGCATCTACCGGATCGCAGGATATCCTTGCAGATCGCCGGCTCGCGAGACACCGAGGTGTCACCGACGAACAACAACACCACGGCCACGGGGGTCTTCGTGAGGAGCGGGAAGTGCGAAAGCACGCCGACCACCGTGACAGACGACAATTCCGCCACAAAGACGTCGTTACCTGGCGAGACCGGGCCGCAACGGTACCTCGGAGACGCCGGCAGCGTCACCGTCAGGCCCATCTACCCGTACTGCCCGTATTCGCCCTATGGCAGCCCTCAGGGCTCGCCCAGGAACCGCAGGAGACCCCTCCGCGAGAGCAGAAGGGTGTCCATCGATAACCGGCAAGGCGATATCAAGCTGAATCAGTACAAGCTGTTGGATGACATCGGACAGGTGAGGCTGAACTTGAAACTCAGGGGAAGACGAAGTATTCCCGCACCCACCGGCCCTCCTTGCGTCGGTATCGCGTGTCTGCAGAGGGAAAAATGCTGTTGCATCAATGGGACGTCCAAGCGTAATTGGATTAAATCCTCTTGATTCGATAGTAAAATATTACTGAATCTACACCGTGAACAATTTTACGTTAAACTTAATACATTTCACATGTCCTAAACTCAAATTTTTGTGTTAATTTAACACAAGGTAAATATGTTGAAAAGTATCACAAATATTATGTCGAAATTAACGCAAAACTAATACGTTAGTCGATATTGAAATACGATGTGTTATTTTAATACTTACACATGTTGAATATCAACATAAGATGTTGAAATAACTTAACTACAATATGTTAAATTAACACGCGAGTATGCGAGAAATTTAACACGAAAATTTTAACAAGGACCGATTATAACACAGGTACGAAATGTTTTTTTTTTACAGTGTAATGCATCATACATTGCTCCAATAACTCGGATATTGGTTTCAATGATATTGCTATTGAATTGAGAAGATTCAATTCGTCCCAATCACGCATGCTGTTGGAAATTCTACAGCAAATACAACAGCGTTTTTTTCTTCCGTGTACGAATTTTCCGCGTCTGCTGTTCCAACGTGATTTTCTCGCCCACGTGAAGCAGTGGTGTCTTCTCCCGAGTTGGGGGAAAAACGAACTTCGAACCCGTCGAGCGAGACGCGGATAGAAGACCGTGTGTATTTTCAACACACGCCGACATACACACGCGTGTGTATTGCATTTAACATTTATTGAATAACGATCGAGACCTCGATTATCACGGCTACGAGCTGGCGCGCCGATTCCACACACCCCATAAACTTGAGCAACGCGAACGGCGATTAGACTGCACAAATAGACGATCCCTTTGACCAGCCCCGGGCGGAAAATATCGGCTGGAATATCTCGCGCCGGGCCAATTTCGCGGGCGCATAGTTTACGTATCGGACGGCCGAAAGCTTTCCAATTACGCTCGCGGTGTTTTAACAATCGCGCGCTGCGCTCGATAAGGTCGATCGACATATTGCATCCGGCTTCGGAAACGCCGAAAACCATTTCGCGGCATTCCACGTATCGACAGATATTCCACAGATCGTATCGTCAATGATTATCGGTACTATGAGAGAGAGAGAGAGAGAGAGAGGAGGGGGAGGGAGTTTCCTCGCGATAGCCTTGATATAGTGCGAGTTATCTTTCCCAGCAATTTTCACTGGCGCGCCTCCGTGCTCCGCGCGCCCTATTAAGAAATAATTAACAGCCGCGCGATTACGGATCATTGTCGGTAATCGCGTTATAGCGCGTTCGCGTAATGCGATATTAGCCGCGGCGGCGGAAATTCGAGCTACGCAGGGACTGTGAAAATCGCTCTTGCGTCCTCACGGACGCAGGAAAATGAACGGTAAGAGGAGCTACGATGTGATCGTGGCAACTAATAGCGAATTTGATCACCCGCACTACACTGGATCGGTATATGCTGAAGGCTGCTATACATGAAACCGTTATTTAACCCTAACTCCGGTCCAGTGGACTGCTAAATATTTGTCGGTTTTCTAATTTTCACATGACATTATATTTTTTTCTTTCTTAAAGTATCTGCTACAACGAACATTACTTTTTCTTAAATTGCATTTGCAAAACCATTTGAAAATGTTTTTCCATTCATAGTTAATTTCTCGTTAAACTTTAAAAGTTACCACTACAATACCGTCAGTTTAATAATTAACCATGATTAGAAAAATTAGCGCAATGTTTTGCGTTGTCATCAGGTTGAATCTAAATTAAGTTAACTAGAAAATGAAAAACCGGACCTTACTATAGTAGTCTTTGATATGCACTAATCCAGTGTAGTGCGGATAATCGAATTCGCTACAAGACGTTTCTCTGAAATAGAGACAACTACGGCGAGATTCATAGTCTTCTATTTAAGGTCGTCTTGAGTACATCTTCAAATACTGAATTAGCCGTTTCATCGGCTACACCACAGAGCATCCGAAGAGAAACCTGAGACGATCTTAAATAAAAGACTGGACTATAAATACCGCCGTAATGACAATAAGAAATAAGAAATACTTAGAAACGGTTGTTACCGGTTCTTGGCTTCTCGCGCTGATGTGCATTCTTGATCTCAGCTAATAAATTTTTCGTAATAACCAACCATTAGCAACAACATCGAGACGGTTAGCGAAGTTCCAGCTGAGTTCAAATCGACCACTGAGATTTAGCTAACAAACTGAGCTACTTTTTTATGAACGATCCCTCTGTTTCCGCGACAGTCGATTCATGGTATTCACAGGACAAATCGGTCATCGCTCGTTCTTCTTCTTTTCCTCCAAGCTGGCACGCACGTTAATCCGCCGACGCACTTTCCCGGTTATTGTTCGCCGTACATGCTGTCCCGCCTAACGAGTTCGGCGCTTATCTCCCGTTCACGAGGATCACGCAGTATTTATCTTCCACCTGCGGCGCGACTTCTCGTCTATTAGTCTTCCAATTACTTAATCAAGGACTCTCGAGCGACAACTTAAATAAGAGTGCTCGGTCTCCCCCCTCCCCCCCGAAAGTCGAAGAGCGTGCGACGAGAGCGCGGTGTTAAGACTTCCGAATGAAGCTGACATCATATGTCGCGTAGAACGAAGGTTAAAGGTCGCGCTCGCGTGTTTCGATAATAGCAGAGCGAAGTCTCCTCGCGCGCGTAAATGGACGCGCTTTTCGAAGCGGCTTTTCGCGCGGGCCGAGGAAGTAAGTCGCGTCGGAAAATGAAAATGCCTACGCAGTCGCGGCCGTAGACTGGAGATTCGATCGGATCGGCTGAGAAGGAGAAGAAGACGGCGATAAATTCGCGTTCTTACAATAGTGTTCGTGAAAAGTGCGAAAGAAAGCTTATCTCGTTTAGCGTGCAATCTCTTGAGGTCTTCGTGGCCGGAAATTCCGGAGATCGCTATTCCCCGACGAGAGCAATGTACTTATTACGAACGAGGTTGTCATTCCGCGCGGCCCCCGCGAAATTATCTTCGACGGATGAGCGAATGGATGGAGAAACAGCGAGAGAAAGAGAGAGAGAGAGAGAAAGAGAGAGAGAGAGAAAGAAAAAAAGATGAGCTCGCAAAGTTCACGATTCAATCTCTTTCCCTTTATCGCACCGCTTAAAACTACATTCGAACTCGAGATTGGATTCCTCGTCGAGGTGAGCTACCGCGGATGCACTTTAGAACCGACATAACATTTAATCGGCTCGAAATCGCCGTCGTCGCGTATTTATGAGCGACCTATCGGCCGATCTCGATCCGTCATCGGTCGATCTTTAGCCACCGCGTAATTATACGAGGCGAGGTTACGTCGCCAGTTGTTGCCGGGATAAAGCACGCAAAAAAAACTACGCAGATTACTCGCGCTGTACCGATTACCGCGCTACGTCGGGAGAGCTATTTCTGCGCGATGAATTAATTCGTATCACAAGACGAATCGACTAACCGTGATGAGCGAGCTACTTCTGGTTAACGGTTAAGTTTCATAACGCAAAATTAATCGAAAAAAGAAATCAAGTATGTAAATGGACACGTATTAGCTTCGGGTTTAATAATAAATATTTAATTCGTGCGATTGAAATTCATCGTCGAAATTAATCGGGCGAAATGTGATTAATAATGGAATTCCGCGTGGCAACATTGAAAAACGGTTATTGTGGAATTAAACGGTCACACGGCATTTCCTGCGAAATCGTCCGTTTTAATGAGAGAGGATAATTTCCAAGCCGCACACGGAGCCGCACATCGGACGGTAAACGGACGATCGTGATCAACGCGCGCGAAGGATCTCCCTAAAAAATCTCCCTCGTCGGTAGTACTTATCGCAAAATAAACGTCCTCTCCGACCGGACGTGCTCGAAGGTGATCACACTATGAACTATAAAATTATGCCCCCGCTCTGCCGATAGCATCGCCGGTGACCTTCGACCTGGCCGCTACCGGCGATACAAAGCAGATCTTGATAATGGCGCAGCTCAACCACGGTAGGGCATGAGTAAGGGTGCGGGTAAGAGAGTCACGATATCGTCCCGATAAAGCACGGTCTGTCTCTGCACAGAGATCGCCCTCGCCTCAGGGGAGAACGCGCTTAACAATGTTTTTCCGTATCAACGTCAAGACCGTGTTCCGCATATCATTATTCGCGGACGATTTTTCGGAGCCTCGATTTCTTTATGGCGCATGATATCTATCTCGAGGCGTGTATGTATGTGTGTGTGTGTGTGTGTGTTTATAACGCGATAATAGAAAAATAAAAAACCGCGGAATATGCTGGCCTATTAACATAAAGAAACCTTGTTCCAAGCGATCTCGATAGCGCACGTCGCTGTGAACCGGAATTATTTTTGCAATATCGGATTAAAGAGCATGATTACAGCCTGAAGGTATTTGCGCACGGAAAAAACAATTCTGTTGGTATAACTGAATTTTCCGTTGCCTGGGGACCGGACGGAAACTCGGCCGAACACTGAGAAAAAAAGTGGTACAATTAATGAAATGTTGCTTAAATAAACATTGTTTTTACAAACACGACGTCTGGTCCATCGAATAAATCGTACGATTGTTGATAGTGAGTTTATCGCTTGATTCGACGATTACGATTGATCAGCAACTGTATCATCGCAAAGTATTGTCGTGCCAACGCGTAATCTATTTAGTGTGGAAATAGTATTTTTTTAACGACGGTGACCGCCAATTTTGTCGATCCAATCACTTTTTACTCTCAACGCAAAAACAGAGAGATTCTTGTAGGAAGTTTCTGCTCAGTTAATTTGTCCCGGCTGTTTCAGCCGAGTTTTAACGCGGCTAAATGTTCACACGAATGTTCTCAGTCGCAGTAGCAAAGATATCACTTGTTTTCACCGAGTTTGCATTTGATACCCTATTCAGTTGCAGGAATCAAGTTTTTTTCCCGTGCACGAGTTGATTCCTCGCTTGCGAGTCAATCGTCGAATTGGAAATTATACACGTCGTTTGACAACAGTAACAACAATAAGAATTATCGTACATCAATTATCGTAGACATAAAATCGATATCCCATTGGTTCTCGTTGAATTAATAGAACACCAGTTATCAAAGATTCAGTTATCGGAGCGAGTCGCGTGAAAAATATCGAGCGACGCGTACGCACGCCGGGAGCCTCGAAAGAGTTAAAGGTTAAATCGAGCCATAAGCAATCGGTGATTCCGCATAGAGTGTGGGAGCTTCTGAAAAATTCAGTCCGCGTCGTCCGCGATCGAACCGCGGGGCGTCGATTACGCTCTGCCGTGTTCGCTCACGCCGTCACTTCGCGTTTGCACCCCAGGGCACCTACGGCCTCGTGAAGCTGGTCTACAACGAGGAGGACGGCGCCCATTACGCCATGAAGATCTTGAGTAAGAAGAGGCTGATGAAGAAGGCCGGCATTTTCGGCAGGATAGTGCCCGGCAAGAAGACCGATCCCCTGGCGAGGGTCTACAAGGAGATCGCCCTGCTGAAGAAGGTCGATCACCCGAACGTCGTGAAGCTGGTCGAGGTGCTCGACGACCAGGAGGAGGACCACCTCTATTTGGTCTTCGAGCTGCAACGCGGCGAGATCCTGCAGATACCCACCGACGAGCCTTTGGACGAGAAAACGGCCAGGCGAAACTTCCGCGACGTCGTCATGGGCGTGGAATACCGTAAGTCATTATTCATGCGCTCCACATTCACGCGTCGAGGAAGTGTTTGATATCTGCGACCGTAATTGCACAGTGAGGTGAAATTACAGTTGGGAATGCCACTTTGGTGTTACGTGCCGTTACAATATTAGCGATAACAATCTTCCATGCATATCACTACTGTTACTTTTTTATTATAAAAAGAAAAAAGCAACGAGAAATAATACGGCAGGCGCCCTAAAATAGCTACAATTTTGACGAAATTGACCGCATTTTGCTCTTGGAAAAACCACTTTCGTGAGAAATGTTGCTACAGTGTTAACGCGATAACAATCTTTTATGTATATTGCTACTATTATTTTATGTTGGAAAAAAAGTAACAAAGGAAAACACGGTAGGCGCTAGAAATGACTATAACTTTAGCGAAATTAACCATGTTTTTCTCTCGGTGTGTATAGTTTATAGTATATCCCTGGTAGAAATTTCATGCAGTTTTTGAGTAGTTACTGGACGGTTTAATAATTTCTATTTAGTAACTGAGGAGTAAAACTACTTCGGAATCCCAATCAAGGTGTAAGGCTTTTCCTGCAATTATTACACACAAAAGATGCGCAAAATCTGAGCTCATTTACTGAGCGAAAACATATCAATAAATTGACGAAAGAATTATTTAAATTGATTAATAAGCAAATATACCACTCATGAATTAGGTAGCCTTGTCCTAAAAATACATCTGAATAAAATTCTACTAAGTTCTTGTCCATTTTCTACGCAGTATTGTTACAACTAATAAAAATTCATTACTAGGCAGTAACTAGATGGGTGTTTAGGAAAATTGCATATATTTCTAAGGATAGTCGGGATTTATTTTGAAGGTTCTCATAGGTTTTTTACTTATAAAATTTTTCGTTTTGAAAAATGAAAACGTTAGAAAACACATCCGAAGGCCTTCGATCTTCGTCGTGTTGGGGTTCGTTAACTGTAAAGTCACGTCATCGTTTTGAGATCGGCTTTTTTGCAGCAATTGTGTTATCGCTTTAGCCGCGTTCTCGTAAACTCAATATTAATTATCGAGGTTGCCGGGATATCTCATATTTCCCTTCGAAGCTCGTTCACCGCTAGCAAATAACTTTCGGCGGTTGAAAGAGAAATGAAAGTTCCGAGTATATCTTAATTGAATCATAGATCGCGATTGATACGTGCGAATCGCGTTTCCCGCGCACAGCTCGTCGTATTTATCACTTACGCGCTAATAACAGTATGCTAACACCCTTGGCAGACGGATTTGCGTAATATATTTGGCGCCTATTACGGATCACGGATCACGGACCACGTTAATATATTTCGTATAACGCCGGCAAGAACCATTTAACAAACCATAGAGCCGCGTCGAAATAACAACCAATATAGAATCTAGGATGGCGATTATATTTTCTCTTTTATTTTCTTTTCTATGTCCGGCAAGAATTATTCAATTAACCATGGAACTGCTTCTAAATAAATAACGACCGATTTAGAATCTAGAATCGCGATTACATTTTCTTTTCTATTTCCTTTTCTATGTCCGGCAAGGACTATTCAACAAATCATGGAGCCGCGCCTAAATAAATAACAACCATCTTAGAGTCTAGAATCGTGATTAAATTTTCCTTTCTGCTTTCATTTTTACGCCCGGCAAGGATTATTCAACAAGCCACGGAGTCGCGCTTAAATAAATAACAACCGTCTTAGAACCTAAAATCGCGATTAAACTTTCTATTCTATTTCTTCTTTCACGTCCGGCGAAAATTATTCAACAAATCATATATCCGCGTCGAAATAACGATCGATTTAGAACCTCGAATTGCGATTGAATTTTCTTTTCTACTTTCCTTTACATCAGGCAGAATCTATTTATCGAGCCATGGAGCCGCGTCTGAATAACTAAAAACAACCGATTTAGGATCCAGAATCGCGATTGAAATTTCTTTTGATTTGCAATCGGAATTTAATCCGCGGAAGATTTCACGTTTCTCGCGGAGATGAATCTCCGAATGTAAAATAGCGTAGTTCAAACGGTACTACTGTGTGTGCGTTGTTTGCGCAGTGCATTACCAGAGGATAGTGCATCGCGACATAAAGCCGAGCAATCTGCTGGTGGACAACGACGGCCGCATTAAAATCGCTGATCTGGGCGTCAGCGCGGAATTAAGGGCGCCCGGTGAATTATTGTCGGGGGGCGCCGGCACCCCGGCATTCGCGCCGCCCGAAACGACTATTCCCAGCGCTCAATACTCGGGACCGGTAAGTACACTCGCGATATAATTATTCCCGCAATCTAATCTACCGCCGCGCATACGCGGCGATCGATACTTAACGTCCAACGGGGCAGCGATCGAGCATTAATAGACTCGTGTATTCCTAGAGACGTAAATATGTAATGCTAACGTAAATGCGTGTGCAGTCCACACACGCGCGGCTAGGATTTGTACGGATTACCGGGTCTATAAATTGTCGCTCTCGTAAACCACTTGGAAGTGAGCGCGACACTGTGCGGCGCAATAATTTGAAATTTATCGCGCAATAACCCACGATCACGTTAAAATACGATGAAACGGGAAAATACATGGGAAAAAAGATTTCTCTTCCGATGGGTTCCAATTTTCGTTCTTTTTTTCCTTTTTTTTTTCAACGCGGCCTGGGGACTAATGGATCTCCTCTTCGCTGTAGCCGGTGTCCGGCTATTATTCCTTCCTCGTTATCTCCCCGACAGCAACCAAATTTCTCCTGTCGCGCTTATTGTCGCGGAATGGAGCGATACGCTCGCGATACGCGCTAAGTACGACGGGGATCGCGTCGCGGCAGGTCCAAACAACAATGACGACACGACTGAGTACACGGCCGATCTCGCTCCGGTGGAATTAAAAGTCGATAAATCGGCCACTATTACACGTCATTTCCACCCGCAAGTAGTGACCTCTCGAACCGCAGAGCCGACACGTGCGAATTGACCTACATGCGTCGCGAGAAAGACCCTCGACGGGCTCTCTCTCTCTCTCTCTCTCTCTCTCTTTCTCCATCTGTTTCCCTCACGCTCGCGTTTGGGATTATAGCGGGAAAGATTCTCCAGCTGCCTTCTTCACTGATCACGGATGTATTGTTATGCCCGTAACTCAAAATAATGAACAAATTATGAAAAAAATTACAAATTGATCTGCATTGCATTTAAAAGTGAAATTCCAGAAGATTGACAATGAATCAGAGCCTGAATAAAAAAGTATTCCACTTTAAAGAAAGTTGTAAAGTGAAATAAGTTTGATGAGAATTCAATGAAAAACTTGCACTGCGTATATATTAGAATATTATCTAACTCGTTGCTCGTGCAATTAAAATGTATGCAATTAGTACAATTAATACGCGAAATGTTTAATTATATCACAATTTGTTGTCATCACATACTTATTTTGCATTCGGTAAAGAAAAAAATTACGGATGATATAACTATGATACACTATGTCGGCTTTTGTATCTTGCTGGGAAGCATCCTTTGATATATCCCAACCAAAAGCTGACCCAAATATAGCGAAGCCAGTCAAAAATCAGGTATACGGTGTCTATACTCTTATTATAGGTACTCTAGTATAAAATAGCAATCCAGCTCGGGGAGGCAGAGAGATGCGCGCGCAAAAGTGACCGAGCCGTTATTTTTCGCCGCGTCTTTTTTGACACGCCACACCTTTGGCTACCGGAGTAAATTATAGTTGGATTACCCGTCTATCGTCATAGACTATGCCTAAACCGTCAACCTCCGTTCGCGCGGAATACTCGCGTCGACATGCAATCAACGTCACGATTCGGTAGCCTCTCCCGGTCGTTTTCGCCCTGCGCAATATTTTTTCTTTCTCTTTTTTCAATCCCCTCGGCTGCTTTTCGTATATCTCCGCTTTCTAATTAAATCCCTCGTGCCTCCTTCGGCTTCCAATTACAGGGGCCTGTAATTCATTCGTACGAGAGCGCGCGTTCTCGCGCGTCAAAGCAACTCTACGCGCGACGTCGAACCGAAACGCACCGTCGTGGATGAAAAGAATAAAAGAAACGTCGCGCTCTGAGATTTTCTTGGTTGCGGGAAAAGCGACACGGACCTCGTCCGATTAATGATGCGGCAGCTTTAGATAAGCTAACGCTGACCGGCCGCGTTATTATGCCTCGGGTCGCTCAAAAGTGCGAGAGAGAAAGAGAAAGAATGAGAGAGAGAGAGAGAGAGAGAGAGAGAGAGAAAGAGAGAGAAAGAAGAGCGGGAAGGGAGACGTGGAGACATATAATTTAGCGCGGAACTATCATTCCGCCCCCATATATTTCCGAGATTACGGCCGAGACCGCAATCGCGTGACCTTATCGACACACCACGGCCGATCGCTTGAATTTCCGCCGCGTCGTCCGAGGAAAGGCGATATCTATAATAAGCAGCTCACGACCGCGAATCTGCACGCTCGATTACACCCAGTCCAGCCGCCACGACCTGCGGCGAAATAAACGGCCAGGCTACCGAGAGGAAGGCGCGGACGGTGAAAAGGCGCGAACGGCGAAATATCGCGCGACGAACGAAATTGCGACTTCACAACTGCGATCGCAGCACAATGTCCTGGAGGGTGGCGAGCTTAAAAAATAGATTCAAAATTCGATTCGGAAAATAACATGGAAGAACATTCTCTCGTAATATGCGGCTCTTCTTACGGCTTCCTCCAGAGTTTCATGATAGTAGTGTAATCATTGTCCATGTAGCAACCATTTGAATTTTTCAAATATAGTTTTTATACAATTAATTCTATTTCAAAAGAAAATTGTTACTTTTGTTATGTATTTAAGAATGAAATATCTGTTAATTTTTTTTGTTATTTTAAGACATATAAACTACTTTAGGAAACTGCACTAGAACTTTGGCACTAAACGATAATCAAATAGCACTTTTATTATCTTGGAATATTCTGTAGTTTTAAAACTACACGGAAAAAATCATTGCATTAATCGAAAAAGGAACAATTAGATGCATTGTGGTTGAAGGAAACAGAATTTCTAATCCTTATGATACATATGTGATATAAATGTGGTTCTTATAATCAGAAATTCTGTTTCCTTCAACCAAAATGCATCTGATTGTTCCTTTTCTGGTTAATACAACCAAACTTTTTTTTCGTGTATGAAAGCTCTGTCGAAACTTAATAATCGGCAATAATCGCAGATACCGCTGAAAGTAAGACACTATTTGATGCGCATTTACAAGCATTTTAAGAAAATTGTGCCCATTTTTGCCCAATTCATACGCTTCACAGAAAATTTACAGATTAATACAATAGTGGTAATTTTAAATAAATACAAAGCAATGTTAAAATATCACTATTGCAATATCAAAAGACTATTTTTTGCATTTTAGTCTGCTATGTTGATTCCGTCATTTTTAATTTTGTAATTCTGACCTTGGATTTGTGTTCAGTAACCCCAAAAACCTACACAAACAAGTCAATATTAATGTACGATTACTTTTGTATATTTTGGTCCATTATATTGAATCCATTCTTTTAAATTTTATACATCTGACCTCGAAATCGCGATTATAGATTCGAAAAATTACTAAATATAGTTTTAGGTAACAATCTACATTGAAAAAAGAATCTAGTAATAAGTACTAAAATTTGGTGAATATTTTCTGACCAAATATTTGATTACCGCAACCAAATAATTTAGTTCCGTGTGCTAAATATACAATATACGAAACTACACACAGTACTGTACATACGGCATACGAAATGAAATTATTCGATTGCAGTAATCAAATATTTGGTCGGCAAATATTCATCAGATTTTAGTATTTACTACCAAATCCTTTTTTTCAATATAATTAAACTACAAATTATGACCGCTTTTTCCGATCTTCCATTCCATTGTACATTGGTATATCGAATCGATCGCGATTCTGGCGAAAGGCGAAAGCGCGAGCGAGAAAATCGCCCGAGGTTCTCGGGATTCCATGGTAAGACGAGATGGATGGAGAAAGAGGAAAGATAAAGTCTTGCGGCGTGTTGTACTCATGATATACAAACGAGCATTCGCTGCCCGAGTTGCTCGTGACGACTCGAAATGTTCACTTCGGTCGAGGTGCGCGAGCGTGAATTAAATCGAATACCTACTTCGTAAACGCGCGATCGATACATTTCTAATTTATTCATTAAAGGGAATTCTCGAAAACGGGGTTGCAGTCGCGCACCGGTACTGCCCCGGGCAGTAATATAACGATAATCAATGAATGCTTTCATTTGACGAAGTGTGCTGAATAAAATGGATATTGTATTTGAATAACGTTTTAATATGAATTATTACTTTTAACTTTCGTTTCACCTGTCCCGACGTCAATTAATTCGATTGATATACGTTTACCTTTGTCCTTTATCCGCCGGAACGGTCGCGTTCTAATAAATTTAACGCTCGTGCGCGAGATATCCTTTTCTCTCCGAGTTCCCTCTTTTTTTTTTTCTTTTCCCACTGTACCGGTGTTTTGCGCTACGCGAATATTTCACGTCTTTCCTTCGCGCGAATGTGCTTTCACCCTTTGTCCATCAATTTGATTTGTTCAGCGGAAATAACTTTTCACAACAGTTAGATGTGTTTGCTTTTCGCCTCCGCCGGCTTCGCATTTACAGATGTTTTGGATTTCAGTACCTCCACTAACGTTTTCCCGCAAAGAATATTTCTATATGTTTTTTTAGTAATTTGATTTTTTTGTATTACGACGGGGGTACAATATCTCTCGTTTTTCACGATGCGCTCGTCAATTTCCGGGTATTTCAATCTTCAATTTATTCCACACGCGCTCGCAAATGGCAAATATTACATTTCCATCGAGCTTTTAAACACGATTTTTAATTACCTTCCAATTTGCCTTCTATTTATTTTCTATTAAACATCTTTACGAGCAAGAAGTCCGACGAGTCGCGCCCAGCCCATCCGCCGTGCAGACCGGACGAATTAATTTCATTTAAAGGAACGTGTTAAAGTGATTCGTAATAAAAATTATATTTTCACGACCGTGTACGAAACTTATCGCGAAGTAAATTTCGTCTCCGATGGCAAAAGGCAAACGACGAGTTTTATACGTATTTTTTGTATCAGTTGCGTTTTTATAAATATGCGTATATATTTGGTTTTTTACGTCGTAGTAAAATATGTTACTCTGTTGTTCCAAAAATCGCCGGGAAAGGCGTAGCGCACAACGCATAGCGATGTGCTGAATAATAGTCCGACGTATCACGTACAAAGTGACCTTTTCGCATGATTGCGAGATCGACCCACGCATTTGCACATACGCACCACGAATTTGCGCATCATATTGTTATAAACGACGACTATGTCACCGGATGTACGCTGAAAAAAAAAACCTTAGTTAAATACCGGAACAAAAGCTTTTTTGTTATTTGAAGATCTGTTAAGGAAACAGATGGAAAAGTTACTTCATGTTTTGTTATTTCATGATTCTGTCAGGGAAATAGATCGAAAAATAACTATTGCTAATCATTTATCATCATTTGTTATTTTAACAAATTATCGCCAATACAGAAGTGTTTGTTAGAGCAATAAATTAGAAGTACAAATTATTTGCTCACACTACGGGGTAATTTGTTGTCCTATATCTGCAAACCATTTGTTGCTGATACTGATATTTTATTAAATTAACAAAAGCTTTTCTCCAGTGTATGTTCGCGATATCTCCGTCTTTCTTTCCCTCTCTCTCTCGTCGAAACTCTTGTTATAACTCATATAGCCACCGCATTACAAATACAAATTTCGTTTATCCAAACGTGACGATAAATGGAGTTTGTCACTCCTTTTTTTTCTTTTTTCCTTTAACTCCTATTCGGAGCATAGGGCACTTCTCCCCCTCTTGCATATGCATGTGGTGGTGCGCACACAGATTGTACACATGCATACGGGACCTACCAGTTTTACGCCGATTCCGAACGGCAGTTGGAGAGAGAAGTGTTTCTTTGGCATGAGATTACTCTTGGCGGTTTGCCAGGCCACCAAGAGGAGCTACGAGCGTAAGAAAAATTCTTTTTCTTTATTTGGTTCTACCGGGGAGTGAACCCGGGACCTCTAGCATAGTAGACTGGTGCGCTGCCTATCATACCACGCTCGCGCTCTTTGTCACTCCTTTGGTAATATAAAAATTTCGCTCGCGCGTTACTGAACAGTCGAAGCGTAAGGAAATGAAGACTAAGATTTAGGAACGCAGTTTGGTGAAGTATTCACGGTATCGGCACACATGTTTGACAATCTGATCGCGACGAGGGGGAATCTGTCTGAAATTGCAGCCGTGCGACGTGTGGTCGATGGGGGTGACGCTGTACTCGCTGGTGACCGGAAGTCTGCCCTGGAACGGCTCCGGCAGCATCGGCAGTGTCTACGCGGCGGCCCGCTCGCAGAACCTGAAATTCCCGGAGAAGCCGGCCGTGTCGGACGATCTCCGTGACCTGATCACACGAATGCTGGTGAAGGAGCCGGCTGACCGGATCACCTTGCCGCAGATTAAGGAGCACGCGTGGCTGACCAATCGAGGAGCCGAATCACTGCCGAGCGAGGCTGACAATTGCCGCGTTCCAGTCACCGTCACCGACGAGGAGGTCGAGCGGGTCGTCACGAGGGTGCCGAAACTCGACACTCTGATCCTCATCAAAACTATGCTGAAGCAACACAGTTTTCAGGTGAGCGAAAGGCACATGCGCGCGCGGGTATGGGTGTGGAAGTGAGGCTCATGTTTCCCGAATCGAAATTTTAATTAAATTTTTAAATCTACAACACGGTATAAATAAAAATAGCAAAATAAGTTCAATTTCAATTCTAATAATATAGTTTACTTTTATTGAACCCTGGTAATATCTTACTGATTTCTGCTTCTGCTGTTTTACAGCCAAAATACTTTAATCAAAGTAGCATTAAAATTAAATCTATAGAATTAAAGTTTCAAGAAGTTAATAAATGTCAGTATCGTCAAGGTGGGTTTTTATTAGTCTATAAGGTGTCTAAAGCCCGGCCTACGATGGTGTAAGCCTCGAGTCGTAAGAAATTGATCAATCACAATCGATTATTCTTCTCACATTCGACTGTGATTGGTCAATATCTATCCTATATGGCTTAAAGTTTATTTTACCTATATATGTAGATCCAGTTTAAATAGACGCAAGCTATACATAACAGCGTCGAAGTAGCATCAAAATTTCGACTCTGGTTTATTCGGAAGCTCATTCTAGATGAAACGAGGGAGATAATTCGAAAATATTATGCGATTCGATGTGAAACATTGAAGTCAAGTAAAATCTCCCTGCGTTTCGCGGATAAAATATTCAAGGAAAAGCGAAAGCTCAGAAATGTGACAACTACGCCACATTGTCCGTCCTTGTAATCCGTTAATATATAATATTTCTGAATGGAACGTATAAGACGCCCGCGAAGCAAAATTCCGAGCATATTTTCGCTAAGACGCGGAATTCGTTTTTCTTCTTTTCTCCGTTGGAGGATGCAAGCGCGAGCATCACCGGGCAGCAAGAGCATCGCGTCGCTTTCACGATAACGAGTCGGCATCGGGCATAGCTTCCCTCGAGGATTCGGAGTAAGCCACGTGGGTCGATTCGTTTGAATATCGTAGTTGCTGTTGGCCTCTTCGTGAAACGAAACGATTCGCATATTCGTCCGGAAGCGAAAAATATGCAGATACGTATTGCCATTGCGACGCGGGAAAGTTAGATCGCATAAACGTGATCGTTTCCGCAACGATGCACTTCTACATACATGTCCGTGTAACCTGCGACTTCGACGTAAACGACGCGAACGCTACGTTACTGTGACAGTCCCGACGGCGTGCGCGTAGTGTTATCAACGTACCCTCGCAAGAAAATGAGGCTACTCGAGAAAATGTCAATCTTACATACAGAGGAAAGGATTCTTTGCATTTAATATACATGTTTGTTTGACTTGAGCATGTTTAATATGAACAATATAATTCAATATCAAATATCATTTCGTTTGAATGAAAATGTTGTTTCACTAGAATAAATTAGAATAAACCATGTTTGTTAGAAGAAACACTATTATTATTAGAGAAGAGAAATAATATTCCGTTTCCAGTAAAAAAATATTTTGTTATATATTACATGTTGTTCGATTGAAACAAAAAAATGTTCTTTAGTATTTTTCTAACATAGTGTTATTTCTTTCAAATAATTTATTGCCTGTGACAACTATTATTATGTTGGATGAAAATATAAAAGAAATATGTTATTTGATATAGAGAGGAATATTTATTGTTTGAGAAACTAAACAATTCTGTTTGTTGGATCAAATATTCGTTTGTTTACTCTATTCCAAAAAATTCGTTTCAATTAAAAAAATTTTATTAAATCCAAAGAAATCTTTTATTCTATGCAGGAGAGATGAGAAAAAATTTTACAATTCTGAAAACCTCGCGATTGCGCGCTTAAGAATTCGGATGAAAATCTCAGTTGAGGCTATTTTTTATACAATTCTTCTTCTCTTCTTCCTATAAAATGTAAATTTCTTACGAAAGAAGCAGAAGTAAATTTTACAACTCTGAATTATCTTGATATCTATTTTAATAATTTAATCGGAAATCGCAGCTGAAACTATTTCATGTAATACTGCGACTTTTCGCCCTGCTAAGAAAATAAGACATTTCTTATAAAATTGCTACGTAATTCGAAAATTCAATTTTTTTCACTAATGTTACATATGATTCTTAATATATTCAATCCGATCTTATATACGATAAATCGAGATGAAAGCCGAATCATTGATGAAAGACTAGAATCGCAAATGTTGGTGCATAATTTGAATCAAATTCTCTCGGGAGGATAAAGTCAAAGCGAGCGTAATTTTTACTTGCCGAAAATTCCCTATATCTCATTCATTTACTCTTCCGAGGGAGCTTGCTTAAAATTACTCATTAACATTCACGTTTCTGGGCCGATCTATCGCATGTTGTTTGGAATATTTTTGGTCGCTTTTCTCGCAGAGGTGCGATATTGATTACAGACACGCAGGTACCACCTACACGCCATCGATCTTACGCGAAGAATGAACAGTGACATTTCACGCGTTTCTCGCTCACTCTCTACGACAATGTCAGAGTAATTAACCCGAGCGCGGTTAGCCGGCAAATACCGCAAAGTGGATGCGAAGCAAGCGGACGTGTATCATCACGCTAGACACACCGATATATATATGCACGTGCATTTTAAATGCGATTCCATTTATCTAGATGTCAGAACGACGCTCAATAATGTTGAACGGTACCAGCGGGAGTGTTTTGTTAAACGACGTTACTCCGGAGTGCACCGAAGTCCCCGCGCAGTCGAGTCCCGTCGACCTTTCCCAAGTTATACGACCTCGATCTCGCGAAACGACAGGGCAATTTTTTGCAAACAAACAGACCGTCCTGTCACGGCGAATAATAACGCGTGGATGCGACATTGCCAACTACGGAAACTCTCCCGAACGTTTGCGCTCGCGTCCCCCAGGACGATCCCCGACATCATCCCTTCGATGAGCCGTGCGCGTTCGCGATTTCGCGCGCGAGGGACCGACCGCTCGATACGGATTTGCATCCTCATCCCCGCGACATGACCGCGATCGACTCGGCAAACTTCCTTCGGAGGAGAGGGAAAGAGGGGAGGATAATATAGGGCTCCTGCGCGGAGGAGCAACGGAGTGTGCACGGTGAATGAGAGCGCGATAAAAGCAGGAGAATCGTCACTCCTCCGCAGAATCCGTTCCTGCCGAAGCGGAGTGGGCGGACGGTGGGCAACGACGTGGAAGCGGGACCAAGCGGCTCATCCTCGCAGAAGCGCGACGCAAAAGCGGAGCAATTCCATCGGGCTGGCAGGAGCATGTCCGCGCCGGACTCCTATGATTTGCACACAAGCGGCAGGTAAATAAACTTGGCCTCGTTTCACTCTTTCTCTCGCACCTACGCTTCCTCCTCTTCTCCTTTTCTTCTACTCTTTTCTCTCTCTCTCTCTCTCTCTCTCTCTTTTTCTCTCTGGTGTCCCGGATATTTTTTAGATATCCCATTTCAATAAAATTCCCGTATGCGCGCGCAACAAAACTCGATTTAACAGGATTCCGCTTGTCCCGTTCGAAACGATTTCGAGGCGAACGCTGACGAAACCGTTGCTCGTCCTTTCTCTGGATTTATCCTTCGGGCTCGTTTGAACAGACCTTACAGTGGGTATATAAATATGTCGCGTTTATTTAGCTTCGCGTGATAGAACGTGTCAACGCTCCACTTCGTACACAGAAAAAATACTAGAATCAAATAAATTTAATCATCTGTTTTTCAGCTACTCAAATATTTTTATCAACTTAAGCATATTTTAATAGTTTGTAGTAATAAATATTTATTTGAACACAGTAATACATTAATTGGTAAGTGAATTACTATATGCAAGTGTAAAATGGTTCAAAATTTTAGAGTATTTATTAGAATCACGTAATTTCTTTTCCAATAAAGAAATCTAGAGGTTTTAAATTTCGATTTTTCTCTTCAGTAAAAATTTTCCAAAAATAAATTCCGATATTTTCAATATTATAAATTTTATACTTATTGCAATTGTTTTAACACATATAAGTAAATACCTACTTGTACGAAGAAAATATCATATTGTGCATAGTCGATTATATTTCTATTTCTAATAAATATTTGCTGAGAAATATTGGAATAACTATTTTACTACTTGAATCAAATAAATATTATTTGAACGGTAACACTTTTTTCTCCCGGTATAGATTCGCGAATTTGATTCACCCTTTAATCAGTTATCGAACGTTTCTTCGATCCGCGGACGCGTCTCGTAAATCGCCATTTCGGGAACTACGTGTCATCCTGGTCCCGTTAAATGGTTATATCGTAGACAAGAATAATGTGTAATTTACCCTTACATTACACGTTGGGAAAATAAATCGCGTTTCGCGGCCATTCACGGCAATATAAATGATAATGGCAGTATAAATCATCTTAATCGGCGCCTGCAAGCAGCCTTACAAACGAATCCCCTCGACACCGTCACCCTGCTCTATCCCTTTCTCTTTTCGCTTCTTAATCGTTCCCTCGTAACGATATGCAAGTTATAGCGAGGGAGAGAGAGAGAGAGAGAGAGAGAGAGAGAGAGAAAGAAAATGAATAAATAAGAGAGAGAAAAATAGAAAAGCCTATATTGTCATCCTAAGGCATGTCTTCTAAGAACGAAGAAAGTAATCGTGTACAAATTAATTTGCGAGTTAAGGATATAAAGATATAAAGAAAAATTGCAATAGTTAAAGGTACAAAAATAAGAAAGAAGAAATAGGGTAAATAAGATTTGAATGTAATGCAAGCTTTACAATTAAGATTAACTAGACAGAAAAAAAAAGTAAATTTACGTTGATGATAAGTAAGAAACAAGTTCCGAGTACAAAATAACTTCGTAGAGAAATAATAATAACAAAGAAAGGCCAAATGATATAAATATAATATTAGTTAAGCATTACGGTGAAAAAAAATTGTTGTAGAGTTATGTAAAATTCAGAAACGTAGACGAAGAAAGAGAGAGAAGAAGAGAGAACTCTTTCGCGCGACAAGCTGGTTGGGTGCATTAATCGTCGTGTATTAAATGTAATTCGCGTGATTGGCAGACAAATGTCAGTGGAAAATCCCTTGCCGCCGGTGACGGAAGCGTCGAACCAGGAGTCAGAAGTCGAAAAGCGGTGATCCAATCGGCGGTAAAAAGGGCGCGCAGGCGGGGGAGCCCTTCGATCTGCGAACGGGCGTCGGGAGAAAGCCGACGGAGAGGCCGATCAAGAGAAATCGTCGATCGAGCGAGCCAACGAGCGAGCGCGAGCGAGATCGTCGAACGAACCAACGAAAAATTAATCTTCCAGAGAATGTTATTGATTCCTCGTTACTTATATTCGCGTTACAGCCGCGTGGCATTGCCTACGGTTCGCAGGTAAGCTCCGCGAGTTATTTACGTTGCGATATGTTGCGCAAAATTTGCAACCGGTGAGGCTGGCGAGAAAAAGAAAAACATGTGTATATATATATATATATATAAATACTATGTGTATATATATACTATGTATATATATATATATATAAATACTATATATATACATAGTATTATAATACTATATATATATATATATATATATATATAAATACTATGTGTGTGTATATATATATATATATATATATTCTTCCCGAGAATGACGAGGGGATCAAATATTTATGAACGATTTTGTTCGATAGAGAGCGGTATACGACATAACGAGAGAATCAATTTTGCGACGTAAATTACAATTTAATCAGAAAGTTGACGGTACGAGGGTAGTACTCGTCCGTGGTGACCCTCGATCGCGTTAAGGTCACGTGTGTAAAATCATGGAAGGTAGCGAGCCGATAATGCATTTAATGCGATGATACGGAATTAAGGCACGCCTCGCCGGCTTTTTCATTCCATTAATGTCCTAAGGAAGGCGTTTGTAAATAACTTTAAGGTTTAGCGCTGTGCATGCCGTGCCGATCCAGTGTTCGAGAGAAGCGCCGTAAAAAAAGAAAAGAAGGAGAAAGGGCGCTTTATGATTTTTGCACGTTATCAGAGTGGTATAAAAATGTCACGCGAAAAAAACCCGATGCGAACGACGTGTGATTTACGTCGTTTTCCACCCTTTTTTTCCGTGAAATTCGTGTTTCTCGTTGCCTCACGCTCGATTTTAATAAATATTAAAATTCAAGGCGGGCTCGTTTGATGTGGACGCCGCGTGACAAACTTCCACGCTAACTTAAGGAGAATGGCGCGAAAAGATGAAATTCCGCACACCCACAGTCAAAATCATTTTTAATAAGCAGAAGACACAAGGAAATATAAACAATGTAATAAACTCCCAAAAGGAGCGCCTGCCGGCGTTCCGCGAGCGAGCAATTTACATATTAACGAACAGATACCGCAAGAGGGAATGTTTAATTGCGGTTTAAGATGAGAACGAAAACTCTGTGTGATTTTGACGTCGGAAGATTCGTTAATGAAAACGGACGGAAAAGGGAAATACTATTTTTTTCCAGACTAAAAAATTGAACTTTGACAATTCGTGTGATTCTCTCGAAATATTTTCCCAACGGAAATCGGACGAATGAATGAATTACGAATGGTTCTCTCCCAAGCTGGATTGGCGGATTCGACGATAGTGATAATAGATTAACGATCGTTCCGCGAATGCGAATTACTGTCGATATAGATGTCAGACTTTTGCAGTTCACTCTCGTCTATTTACAAGCCGTCGCATAGGTGTACATAGGTGTAAAAAGGTGTACGTATATTGTATACTAAGAAAAGGTCATATTCATATTTTGTATGTACGATATTCGTATTTTTAAAGGTAGGCTCGTAAACGTGAAAGCCCGCGATACAACGACGCTCCTCTTAGGTTCTCGCCGTTAGATACAACGATGAATGGACGGAGCTCGTCTCTTGATTATCGATATTTAAACGCTACACCGCTCGCGTGCGGCAATTTGAATCTCAATTTGAAGCTCCCCGGGAACATGTACTTCGAATAAATTCCAATCGCGATTCATTCGTGCCTCGAGTGTTGAAAATCTCGCGAGTGAGAATATTTCCACCGAACGATGAAACCGCTTCTTCAATCAAGATCGTCTCATTTCCCTTCGAGAATCTCTGATATTAAAGCGCGAGACTATAGGCGATTCGACAATTCTCGTGGCTTATCCGTGTGCGAGACTTTAGATTCACGTTGTATAACGGCAAACCAAGCGACGCACGACCAAGGAAGGAGAGGCAACCAAAAAAGAGAGAGACTCGTGATTTCGTCGGACCTTATTGAGACACGGGGGACCACAAAACAAACGTATGAATATTTAAGAAGTAGCTTTCACAGCGCTCATACACGCGAAGAGCAGGTAGCTCGGGACCCAATTTGTCGTATCTCGAGTCGCCGCGTGTACATCTCGATCTTACACCACGCGCGCGTGGAAAAAGAGAGAGAGAGAGAGAGACTGCGACGGATCTGTTAGTTGATAAGTATATTAATTACTCTCTCATTATAGCCGAGCACTCTTGCGTTCTCACGACTTTCGTTCGGGTGGATTCGAAGCGATTCCGAAGCACCCCCGCGGCAGGTCTATGCGCATCAACGTGTCACACACCTGCATAGACCAGGAACATAACGAGCCTTACGAAAGTGGCGAGCCGGTCGCCGTGGAGGAAAAGAAAAAAAGGAGAAAAAGGAAGGAAAAACAATATACATACACTTTCTAATCACGCGTTTGCATTTACCTATCAGGTATACTTGGCGGCTCATTAAGTAAGGTCCATGTATGCGCGTCGTCGTCGCGTGATCGTCGCTCTCTATGATTAGAGACCCTCAAATAAGAGCCATCTGGATATCTCCGACTTTTCGATCAAAAATAACGTCTGGCTTGCCATTAGAATATCTCTCTCTATGAAGGGTGTCTACAATGCATCGAGTTCAGGCACATTTTTCTGAGGATATATATGTGGTTCGTCTTATTACATATAATGCTATTTATAAAAATGGACTTTTCAATTTTTTAGAAATTAAGTTTTTCCTTTATTTTATTATTATTCACCTACATTTAGTTATAAATAGAGTCTCCTTATTTGACAACCCTCAGCTCCGCCTTTTTGATCAAATGAGAAATTAGATCAATCAGTAAGAAGTCGAAGATGTTCAGACTCTTAGTTGAGTTGACTTTATCTACGACCAACAAGCACCGTTCGTCAGTCTGTTGCGAGGCTGGTTAGGCGCGTTTGTCGATTTAATGCCGGTTTCTAACGACATCGATTAAGCCTTAACCAGAGTTCAAACTTTCTACGAACGAAGACTGAAACTCGAGCTGACGTTCAATCGACGTTGATAGAAATACCGGCATAAGTGGGCGATGTGAAAATACGGATCTCCAGGAATCCTTTTATGCGGATCGCAAGCGCGGAGATGGAGTGTCTATTGATGACGGATGCCTTGAAATCATGTCACCACGCTACGCAATATCAATTTAAGACGATCAAGCCATGCGATTTCTCGAATATTTCCTGGCGGAATGTAATTTATTCGACGTCGCATTAAACAACTTGATATTCTGGACGACGCGCGCCTTGAATGTTTATCCACTTGACGGATTTCGTTCAGTTTGTACGTCAAACTCGAAATCTTTTCAATGTATCTTTGCTATTCTTGCATTTCGCAACTCGAAATGTTCAGAATGCGACTTTTATAATTATGACATTGGGTTTCTGCTGACGGTAAAACGCGATGGAAATTTAACTTCGGCGAAACTACGCTGATTAAGAGACGCGCTTCGATGCGGCACGGTCTGTGGACACTTTCCGAATTGTCTTACGGGTATACAATTACCGTTATTTAAACGATTGTAGATACATACACGTACACACACATACACACATATACAGGCTCGTAGGTGTGTCTTACTTCGTACTCTTTATCACAAATTGCACAAAATATTTTGTATCCTGTATTAGGCACGCACTATGTTTCTAAATCTCGCTGTAAAAAATGAAATATATATATATTTATATATATATATATTATATATATATATATATATATATGTAACGTAACGCACTCTATGCCGACTAAAAAAAGTATAGATTATTATCGAGCGACTTTTAGACATATACGATGGATCTGCACTCGATATGTATCGCGACCAAAAGTTCTTGTGATGCTCAACCGAGGCATTGATTAGTCGATTAGAGAGTTTCATTTTACTCGACAATCAATATATTAAAAATCGCGATCGATAACTCTATACATAAATATATATACATATATATTATATTACTTCGATATACTTTTCTCTTACTCGTCGTCCTGTACTCGCAAAGCCCTTTCGTTGTCGATTTACGAAAGTTCTCAGCTCTAGGAATTCGTAGGAACTTTAGCGATTAAAAGAGACTACAATTTTCACCTTTTACCACATTTTCCCATCTCGCGCTCCCTCCCTCTTTCTCTTTATCTCTTAGATTAGTTAGGCACTTCGATCTTATCCCGTATTAAACTCGAAACCTTAACGCTATAACGGCAAGTTCGGGCTTCACGGATTCACAGTTCTGCGTGATTACGCATACGATACGGCCGAAAACTCTTTGCGATCTGTACTGAAGATATATTGATATGGAAATATTAGTCTTACGGTTAANGGGGGGGGGGGGGGGGGGGGATCGCGACTTAATCAAATTATATATATTTACGAGATAATAAATTATTGAATTTAATATATCGACTGCGCATAACGCGAACACACACACACACACACACACACACACGAACAGGGACACATATTCATATCCCACACGGAACTCCTGAAATAGCAAGCAAAGCATGCATATGAGAAAAAATTCTGCACACGTAGATCTAAAACGAAATTACACAACTCGTTCCAGAAAATCTTTCTATCTTACTATTTGCTATTTACGGTAACTCGCTTATAGTTACTCGCGATCGATTTTTCGGAGCTCTCGTCTCGTGAAGAGAAAAGATTTTTCTCTCGTGCACATCTGTGACAATTAAGTGTCGCGATTGCCAGCGCGCGCGTATAACGAGTCCCTCTTAATTTTCCGCTGGTTTTATCCACTTTGCAAAAGTCAAACGTAAACCTCTCGTGATTTCTCCTCGAGTGTTATACTTCCTTTCCCGCACGTACGTATCTTTAGTCATTAAACCGGCGTAGAGACCCTCGTAAAAAATTCAATCGGCCACTTTAGTCAGCCCTCCACCACCCCTTGACCGCCTCCCCGCCGCCGCCCTCCGCTAATTAAAATGTCCTTACCGATAATCTTCTTTACGCAATCGATGCGTAATGATGACCGAGCGGACTCGCGAGCAAACACATTTTTCAGTCATACCTCACGCGATTGGCTCATATTTTACATATTAATGCTCGCCGGACCGTGGAAAAAACAATTATATTATTTACAAGCTTGAATCGGCGCTCTAATCTAATCTTTAATCGAATTTTCCTTTTTGAAGGAAACTATCGTTCTCTTCCTCCTTTTACCGACGTCGCATTCGTGCGTCATTTTTTCCAAGTAGCTTTCGAAAGTAATCATCAAAATTTTTGCATTAACAAAAATAAAGTAACAAAAATAAGTTAACAAAAATAAGTTAACAAAGAACAAATTTCTAAAGTAATCATCAAAATTTTTGCATTAACAAAAAGAATTATTAGTGATATTGTCATCTTCGCTGAAGTTTCACTCACTCACGGTTCTGCGAAATTCGTTCGCGAATGCGCCGACGAGCGCGGGGAAGATTTCGCGCGCGGAACCTTCCCCGCGGAAAGGCGATCGGAGTGTGAGTCACTCTCGTTTGACAACGCAACATTTCTTCACCATCAGACGACGCTTACACACGCGAATACTTAGCACCGTAACGATACCTACGTCTGAGTGTTGGTACATAATGTTAACACGACGATCCGATCCGACGATCGGACTCCCTCAATTAAGGAGAAAATAAAAAGAAAACCAGAACTCAGCTAGCTAGGAGGAGGGGCCGTGATCTTATACAAAGGAATTAAAGTTACTCGAGCGTAATTGCAACGTGACCGCCAATGATTCTAAGTAAAAAGCGCGAAAACTTGCCCGTTGTGCGCCCGTTGGGCTTCTTCTTATTGTAAATTTACACCACATAAATATATATACATATATATTTTACTCTACCCGTGTACGTTCTATTATCCGCCGCACATTCTACTAAGTTCTCTTTTGTCAAATAAACCAAGCGTTCTGATCGTGTCAGAAACAACAGAAAAGGAAGAAGAAGAACCACCACCTCCGCGCGAGTTTCATTCCCCCCTCCCCCTCTAAATATATAACGCTCGATAAAAGGATACGTGCAAACGCTGTGTAAACGTTACAAGTAGAATAACCGTTTATTTATTCAGAGAATGAGAAACCGTCGCTGCGTCAGCCGGCACGCCCGTGGAGACTCGGGGAGATCGATCGACGACGCGCGTGTAATTTCGCCCGCTGGATCTTCGCGCGACGACGAAACTCCGCGCAAATGAGCCTCAAATGACCGGCGCGTTTTTTGGGAACACCTTGACCCGCCGTGAAAAAATCATCGGCGAGCGAATATCGCTCCCGAGTGTCGCGCAGCGAAAAGCAGAGGGGCGGCCGCGAGGCAACCCATGCGTGCCGCGACTATCAATTCCGTTGGGCAACCCGGGAACGCGCAGAGGCGGAGGCGAAAGACAATGCACGTGCGGACCCGGCGAAACCAATCGATCGTGGTGGTGTGCGGGCCTCTTACGCTGTTGGATCGTGCATTAGTATAAAGGGGTTTTGAAATCGGCAGAGGCCTTCAGTCGATCGCCCGACCCGCCCGAAGAAATCGTGAGCCGTCACAATCGGGAAACGCACGTCAAGCTATCATGAAGCTGCTGGATTACTGCCTGCTTGTCTGCGTAAGTATCATTCCGATCAATCGGGATTCCGATCTCCCGATTTATCATCGTTGTTATCATCATTGTTATTCGCGGCCACTGCAAATTGCTCCCCGCGACCTCGCGTCCGAATAAGTCCGGCGCTTCGCGCGAATACCAATTGAAGATTTAGCGTGCGCGAGAATTGCGTTCTATTATTCGTAGGGACTATAAAAGTAACTTCTGAAAATAATTCTCAAGATCCCTTGAATTGCAGAAAGTAATTTTTTAGCGATACTGTCATGTTCGCCGGAGTTATATCCGCGATCTTGCAATTTGGTCGCGAACGAGCCAATGATCGCGGAAAAAGTCCCGAGCGAAGAAGGCCGCTCTTGTTTGATAATACAAGATTTTTCACCACTCGACAATTCGACGTTTGCACACGAATCAAGAGACGCGGTGTGGCATTGCGCGCTAAGTACACGTAACATACAAGAGTCCCGCGTGAGAGACGTGTGGCCGCCGTAACCAATTTTCCGCAGCAAATTTTCTCCATTGCTCTCTCAGTGGAAAAATATTTGTTTCCGGTAGAAAAATATTCGACGAGATAAAGCGTGTCAAATCTTTCTCGAGGAAATTCATGGACGGAAATTCAATAGACGCGAAATTACTTCCAAAATTGTATCTTCCGGAAATTATACGTTGTTTGATTATCGACGACGGGATACCATTTCGCCGAGCAAGCCGCGATTCCCAGGTCCTAATCGCGCGAAAAAGGAAGCGTCACACGCGACGAAGTCTTGAATATGATCGTTACCGTCTGGTAGTAATAGGTTCTTGCCGATGAATAGTACTTATTCCTAATCAGAGCGTAAAAATTACCAATTGCAACCGCGATTACCCGCGCGACTTGTAATTTTCGTGAAAATGAAACTACCGCGTGACGCCGGTGGATTCAGCGAAGGTGTGTCGTAACGTACGATTATGTGTTGTATCACCTGTCCTCGCCACATTACAACATCATTGTCCGACAAAATTCACTTCGCGGGAGGAATACAGTCGACTGTGTGGGACCATTTTCCAACTCTAACTGCCATAGGTTTCTATGTCTTTTCTTTTGTTTAATCCTAAATCATTAAACTATTGTAAAAATGACGACGTTCCACACGAACAGTTTGCGCTTTGTATCTGTTCAAAATGAAATTCAGGAAAATGATAACTAATTTACATTAATAACAATATATCATGTCCATAATGTCAACAATGTGTTAAAGTTGAACACATTATCGTCTTAATTTTTCATTGTTCTTAAGTCTAATTATCATAAATATATATTTGTTACGTAAGTTTTTATCTTTCAATAGAAATAATAATTTTCTAAAATATTACGTGTCTTTCGGCCGTAATTTTCACGAATGATTATTAATAACGTAAGTCACAGGATAATTTAATAATTTAGGGTCTCAACCCTAGTTAATTTTTCTTAAGAAACTATGTTTTCACATAATATTTACAAAATTCGTCACACAAGCACGATACGACAAATTCAATACAATTCAATCAAAGCAACAAACACAGCACAATACAACACATTCAACGGGAACAATAAGCATACCGAAAGATGCAACGAGCGCAATCAAGAATTCCATTAACTTCTCACATACAGCTCTTCGCCATGAGAGTGCAGCCCAAACCGCAAATAACGAAGCTGTTCCCGGTGGAGGAACTGTTAGCGTATCAACAGCAAGCAAACAACATTACGAGGCCTTTGGTAGACAGGTTTCTGAGGAAACTACGCACCACTTACGACCTCGTTTTCCATCAACCCGACAACACCAGTCACGTGGAGAAGATCCTGACGAAGAGTGTGCCTGGCCCCGACCTGCGAACTCTTAGATTGTTCTGGGCCAATCAGATCAAACAGGATAACTACACGGATCTCAAGTATCCTAACGACACGTTCCTAGACCACGTGAAGTCGCTGTTGGTCCCGAAAGATCACGAGAACAATAGGAACGCGAGCGGTCTCCAGAAGGATTCGTCCCTCGAAACAAAATCGACGATCAAAGCGAGCGGGACGAGCGGGAGTCACGCGAGCTCCAACCGGACGAGAACACTGCTCAACAATCGATTGAACGACGTACAGTCCTTAGGACTGTTGGAGCTGCAAAATGAAGAAGTGCCGTACGCGAAATCGGAGGTTGAGATTGTGACGCCGGTAACGACCATAAAACTTTCGACAACGGTGGGTCAGCATCTGATCGACTGGCTTGGCTCCATTTTCGGTCTCACTTATAGTATTTACGCGAAATTATCGGCCGGTGCCTGCAGCAACAAGACGACGCACTGATAGCGCCAACGATCGCGCGAGAAATGGTGAGGCGATAATTATCATCATCTTATGCATCTTCGAAAAATAAAAATATTTTATTAACCGCTAAGATGAAGATGAGAGAAAAATTTACACTTATAGAAGGTGTTAGAAGTAGATCACCAGTGGCATCAATATATGAAAAAAAGTTTGATGGAATTTTTACGATTATTTCTGGTTCTAATGAAACTAAATTTAGTCGTTAAGAACCAGAAAATCTGTTTCCTCCAACCAAAACGCCTTTGGTCTATTTATTAATAAACTCAAAACTCTTTCCGTATGCAAAGTAATTTTCTTAAATAAATTTATCTTTTACTCTCATATTTCGAAGATATTCAAGATGGTGGTAGTTGTTGCCTTATCAATACAAAATGTATTTAGGAATTATATTCAGATCAGAGGGATACGAGGAAGAAAAAAGGTAGAAAAAGAGAAAGAATAAGAGAGCGGTGTATCTCTTTGCTTCTAGATTTTCATTTGTAAATCTAGGCAGTTTAAATTCGCAAACAAATGCACAGAATTTTGTATTTATCCGGCATAAAGAACGCGTTTCTCGCGCTTTGAATCGCGAAATGCAATCGATACGCTTGTTAGGAGATCGCGCGCCCCCGGGTTAATACGATATAAATGTGAAAATGGAACGGAAATGCCGAAATGTCAAAATGTGAAAACCAAACCACGCTGCGGCGTATTCGATGCTAAACGCGCGGTAAAAATACCACAGCGAGCTGTCTGTAATTTTATATCTTTGTACCGCATTTACGTCAAATCCCGCGCAGCACGCTCCACGAATTTGTGTGTGCGTGCGTATGTGTACATAGAGAAACAAATAAAATTTATATTACGACATAAAATAGGGTGCTTTTCGTATCTCGTCTCGATTTTCCAATTTAACGGCGCGCGCGAGATTCTATTACGAGACACGTGTGAAATAATCATGCGTTGCATCACGCGCAATTTCAAGGCAGCGCTGAATGCAGTCTTCAAACGTGTAAGAAAAGTCTTAAGCGACGCGTAACGCACGTAACGCATATTAATATTTCCGCATTAGGTTCGAGAGCGATCGTTTGGCTGTGCGCAAGACCACATCATAACGCTAGTTTTTGCGGTCGAACGTCGTGCGACTACGGGCACGACGGCGATCGCGAGAACACGAAGGGATTAACACGCTCTGTGAGATGTTCTTAGCTTCTTTTATTCAAAAATAGCTCCTTCTGAAAAATACATTTGTATGTATTCCGTAAATTCACAATTCGTGTCGCTCCTTCTTTCTTATTGGCAACGATTGTAACAATCGTAATCGAATCTGCTGAGTGACGCGAAACTTCCATCGGACGCTTATATCCGACGTTTCTTTTCCATTCCTTTCTTTTTCTTCTTCTGTAAAGTGCGATCAATACATCACCTCGTACACACGTATTTGCCTAATCTCAGTGAGAAACCGCCAAAGTCGCCGCATCGTCTCGGGGAAGACGCCCGGTCTTCGTCACGTCTTTGAGACAAAACTGTCATCTGACGCGAATAAGGGCGACTTACGGTGAATTAAAATGGGAATTCCAGCAAACGACCCTTAGAATACTGCTGTTTCACACGCGAGTGCGAAGTCTTTGGTTGTGTCACACGACACGAGGAGTCCCGTACGTGTCGTATTCACTATTTTCTAATCTCTTACATCTAACGCACGTATTCGCTAGACGCACGCACGCACACACGCTTTTGACCAACGTGCACGAGAGAACGTTAGGAATACTCTCTCCGAAGGATTCTCGAGGATACGCAATCCCGCATAGAAATTTTCCAAGATTTTCCCATATACGGCATAGATTCCGATTAGAATACTCAAAGTTGTCCCAAAATTGACTTTTCCACTACGATACTAATTAAGAATATCATTCTTATCCCAAGCATGAGATGAAACCTCTTTTCTACGATGCTATTTAACTGTGCGTTGCTGCGCACAACTATCACTTAGAATCGTATATTAGAAACATTACACGTTTAACCAGAGAACCTGCGTAGATTTCTCAGCTAGAATCCATAATTATTTTGAGAAATTCGACTGGACTTCAATTAGATCCTGAGAAATTTTCTGTACGGGATGCATATAAACGATCTTTGATGCATAGAAAAAAAGATTGGTTGAATTAACGTGACGATAAACTAAATGCGGAGCAAGCGGAATTTCTGGTTCTTCTAATCAGTTCTAAAAAATCGATTCATTGTCACGTTAATTCAACCAATCTTTTTCCCCCGTGTGAATTTTTCACTAATACTTATTCGTACAAATAAAAATCGAATCATCGAGCGCGCGGATAGCGTAAAAATAATGTCAAGTGTGAATAATGTCAAATATGTCAACGACTGTTCCTCAAAATGCGAACCGCCGTCGATCCCAATGGTCATCGATCGAAATCGTAAATAATCGCACATGTTATTTCGTCGCGCAGATAAATCTCCGTAAGCTATCACAGTTTTCGTGTTTTCTTAGAACCTTCTGTTCGAAGTCGACGTTAACGAAATGGATTTCAAGAAGACGAGGATACGCGAAAAAAGTTGAGAAGTAAACCTCTCACGCGAATAATTGCGAATCTTACAAGTCTAGTTCGACCGTTGTAAAAAAAGAATGCATAACTTTACGAGATAAGTTACGCTGTTTCATCGTATCTAAAGATTTAATTGCTAATCTTGATTGAATCGATGTGTTCACTTGTTATATTTTTAAGTATCAACCAGCGACGATGTCTATTCCTGTAAAAAATCTTGAAAAGTGATTAAAATACGTTTAAATGCTTAAAATATGCAAATATATATGTAAAATAATGGAGAAGATTTTTGTGAATTACTTATTATGGGAAGAATGAGGGATCAAAGACGATAGATTTGGGTGACCGAAAGGTGATTCCAGATTGACAAATCGACACAAATTACCCGAAGAAATGTATCGTTTAAGTTTGCACACGGCGTTTTCTTGCACGCGAGAACACTAATTTCGGATTGTTGCGAGGTGAATATTCCCGTATAACGTACGTTTCGGAATGCGATTCTCGATCTCCATGTTGTGTCAACTCAGATAAAAACTGCTAAATGTTATTTGAGGTATCTGTGTTAGGAGTACTTTCTTCCCGGAAATTCGGTCAAAATAGTTAAAGTCTGCTATACAACACAACGGACAGATTGGACATCGAGATTCGTCGAAATGGATATATCTCCTCTCTCATTACGTAAAATGTCTATATCTATGTACATCATTTACTTTACAAGAATTATTAGCGCAATTAATGGCAGTACACAGTGTGTACGTTGATACTAAGATACTAAACTCGCGAGTATCATGCTGTTATCGTTATTCTTCCGAGATTCGTCGATGTCTCATTGGTTTATCGACTATATTCACTCCGTTTTACCAGTTTCTACACGGAAAAAAAACCAGACGCTAAATTCCAGTAAATATATTATCTCAGTAAAATATTTACACGATCCATTTTTTATTTGATTTTTTTTCTGTGTAGCTAATACCGAAGAAACGTATGCAATAAAAAATTGTCGGGTATGGATAAAGCACAAGAAACTCCCGAATTTGCGCACCGTAAGTTTTTTTTTTCATCGCTTATTCGGTAGATGGACATGTATTGTCTTGAAAAATCAAAATCTCGAAATACAAAAAATGGAGCAATTTTTTGAAAAATCATGATCCCGAAATTGATACAACGAGGAATGCATCAAAAAGTGTGTAAAGCTTTTAGAACTTTTACTATAATTATATTATTTCTGTAGGATTTCGATATTATATTTTTTAAATGTATAAATTAATTAAATGCCTTTAGTTTATCCATTTCTAATAAGAATTTTATATTTGAATATATTTTCCGCTCAATTGTGATTTTAAAAAGTTGCCGTCTACGTCTATAAAACACCGCAGAAATAACTGCAGAATAAAAAAAAATATTGTTCACAGTAGTGAACAATATATAAAATATTGTTCACAGTAGTGAATATTATCCATAAAGCATATATTCGACAATATATTTTACATTTCAACTGCAAAAAATGTTGCTGAAGCCATAAAAATAATTTGTTCGATTCTTAGTAAAAGCACAGTGAGTCATACAAATTATGAAAAATGGTATCAAAGATTTGAAGAGATTTCGAAAAGGCCTATTCCACGAAAACCCTTAGATTAAACTTAGATCTTATGTAGTAAAAAGAATTAAAAACACATTTTAATATAGGTTAGAAAGTTATATCGCATCCGGCTTATTCTCCAGACTGTCCCCTTTAGATTTTAACCTGTTTCGGTCATTGCAACATTATCAAATTGACACACATTTTAAAATAATAGAAAATGTAAAATCAGAAAATTGATCGATGGCTTTGATTCAAAACCACCAACTTTCTATTGCGACGGAATTCGACAACTACCTGATAAATAACGTAAGGTCATCGGTAATAACGGAGATTATTTCGATAATTAAAATTGTACATTTTCGTAAATAAATAAATTTATTAATAAATAAGTTTTGATTTTTTGTAATAAAGCCACCGAATTAATTTACACATCTAATAACTTTTCAGGACAATTATATGCTTCCGTTTCTGAAAAAAAATTGTATTTCGGGAGATTAAAAATATATCCAAGATGCAGCATATAACTTTTTGATAGTTTTTGTTATATTTTACATTTTCCTTTTTATATCCGGATCTCAGGATCTTTTTCGAGAAATTATCCTATTTTCCAGATTTCGATTTTTTAAGATAATGCATGTGGACCACTCATCCTTTCAAGCGATACGTTATTCTCTAATGGCAGATTGATTTCTTCCAAAACATATTTTATCATTATCGCTCATAAAAGAATGAAATTTAATTATTTACGTAACTTTTCAGCCTACTTAAATTACTTATCATACTTACGCTTTACACGGAGAAAATTTTTCCGTAAAATCTCAGCATTCATAAATTGAAGAACCATACTAATTTCTTCGGCTAAACTACACTCGTATCGGAAATATTTGAAGGTAGTATGAATGTATAGATATGTAAGGGGTTAAAAATCGTAAGAAATTCTAGCAAAAAGTATTAAGGCTTATACGACGCTTGATGTGAGGATAAATTTGTGTATCGTCAAGTTAAAACGACATTCAAATAAAACTGTTAATTAATTGTCATAATATATGAAATTTGATTTCTGAATACACATTCATAAATACATATTCATAAATGTGAATGAATACAGTTAATATATGTAGTACAAATATATCTCAGTCACACGATACAGTGTATGGTATATTATTGAATAAAAATTCTCTCCGTATATTTGTCTTATCTAATTTGTGGTACTTGTCTACTTAACTGCAAGCAGACCGATTTATTAGTGAAATTTATCACGAGTTCAGCGGTTGTGATTTTGCATTAATAGACTAGAATCGTTAGGGAAAATTACGACCGCTAATGAAAGTGAAGTAGAAAAATGAACAGATACGTAAATTAATTTTGACAATAATGAGAAATATGATAATAAGAAAATGAAATCATCAGTCTATGATACACAAGAGAAACTCTATGATGAAACTCTTGCTATCTAGATAACAACTTAACTGACTAATGGAACTCGCTAAGATAAATAAAAAAAAATGTTAATAAACATAAGTTACGTACAAACTAATCATTCTCGAGATATTCAATATTTTCAATCGTAACTCTCTATACAAATGCATATATCGGGCATAAAATAATTAATATCTCGAAAAATATAATAATAATAATAATATACGTAATACAAAGAATAAATATCGTACTCAAAAAGGTGTGTTGAACGAGACAATCGTAATAATTTCAAATCCACAAGAAGACACCGTGTCAATGTGCGAATTTAAATCTATTTGATCCTTTATTTTTCCTAAAATTGCTTTCGGTTCTGATCGATAATGATCAGATTAGAGGGTGATCCGCACTGAGAAACAGTCGTTTACATTTGACACTTTATTTTTATTATTATTATCTTTATAACATCTGCCCGCTGATTCCATTTTAATTTGTACGAATAACTAATTAGCGAGAAATCCATAAAGGGTTCATCGTTCGGAGAGTACTTCTAACGTTTCATTTTTCTTTGTTAACATCTGTTCTAAAAGTTTTTTGCGCAGCACGGAAATTTATTGACAACTCCCATTTTTAAGATATCAATATAATTATCCAAAGAACTAATAAAAATAACAGACTTGCAAGAAATAAAAAAATTGAATATCTCGAAAACGATCAGTTTGTAGACCTATGTTTACTAAGACTTTTTTGTTTGTCTTTGGCGAGTTCTATTCTCCAATTAAGTCTTTACCTAAATATCCAAGTTTGTCATATATTGCCCGGATGCTTAAGGCCCGTATTTTGAATTCTCTTTTATCGACAAAAGTGACTCTTAAATGTGGCTTCTCAGCCAATCAGGTAATTCCTAAGCCACTTTTAGAAGTACTTTTATTGATAAAAAAAAGTTCAGAATACGGGTTTAAATATTCGGCTATCTCTCAAATTATTCGGATATTACCGTAATTAATACCTAATAGCTTGAAACTCGAATATCTTAGAACACAAGAAAAAATTAACTAGTGTGAAATCATTTGCTAAAAAATATTGACAACCGATGGTAGATGGGCATTATTTGACGCCATTCAGTGTGGCACTCAACTTGGTGTTAATGTCAACTTGTAGCATCACGTGTCGGTAAATGTTGTATCGTCATCGATCGCTCTAACACTTTCACACTAAGATGGAATGAAATAAAGTTTGATAAAAGAAGCTTGATAAATGTCCCAAATCTTCACGATCATACCAAAGATGCAGATTCGAGAGTTCGCTAAAGATTTATAGTGTTTAGTATTTAACGCGTGCTTGAATTTGATTACGTCATTGCCTACGTTTTCACATTTTGACGTATTGACACATTTTGTATTCAGAATAAAATTTGTGGCAAAATTTCGCGCCTTCGTTAAAAACAAAATATCGGCGGAGAATATCGATGGGAAACAATTTATATCACTCGCGCGTTCCGCTCGCGTTGTGAATTTTTAGCCAATTAGCCAACTTTTATATTCACAACGTCGGTGCCTAGGAGCTAAAAAATTATTGGAAAATGATAATCAGCTTACTTACGGCAATTTTTTTCATGGGTACATCAACGACCGTTATAAATCTGCTATTGCTTCGGACTTTGCTTACGGCTAAGACGGCATTACGTATCTTACGTTATCAGACAAGATATCGTCCGTACTAACGTCCTCTTGCTGCAACACACCGCCTTCTCTCGGCATTTGTACCCTGAGCGAGGTTAATGTGTGCAGTATCGCAGGATCTTTCACGATGTTTTGAAGATTCTGAAGGAAAACGCTCTCCGATATTTGAGAAAGAATGTTCTCTTGTTTCGGCATGCTGTCCGTCAAGACAGGTTTGACCTCTTGCTTAGGTATCGTCGCCACATCAGCGCTCTTGTCGAACGAATCCTTCTGGTCCATGTAATAAATACTATTTTTCATCTTGTTTTTTCGCATGCCAGAATGCGTTTGCGTATGCTTATTCAAGTGATCCTTGCGTGAGAACGCCTTGTGACACACCGTACATGAGAAGTTCTTATCGCCGGAATGGATGACGGAGTGCCTCGTCAAGTGTTCGTTTCTCTTGAATGCCTTCTCACACAGCGAGCACTTGTAGGGCCGCTCATCCGAGTGACCGCGCATATGTTGGTCCAGGTGCTCTTTTCTCTTTAATAAAGCACCGCATTCCTTGCACTCGTATTTTCTTTCCTGCAATAAATTTCATTCACTTACTTCGGTACTACAATGGCACCGCCATTAGTATACTCCGGTTTATTAACCCTTTTGCAACGAATGGCCATTACAATGGCCGCTCACGCGAAACTAGTAAATTTACGACTTATTTCTACAAAACAAGAAAAAAAGAAAATGAACCAACGAAACAACTTCTGTTAAAAATCTGTGGAGACTTTGTCTCAAGTACTTACAAGGAAAGGTCACGGTAGACTACTCATCAATCTTGATCCATTTTGATGAGATGAATCTATCGATCTGTTCTTTATAACTGCACTGCTGAACTGGTGCAATAAATTTAAGTGAAAAAACATATATTTGTCTCGTTTTAACTTATCGCACTAGTTCAGAAATATAGCTATAAAGAACAGATCGCAGATAAACCATATAGGCAAATGTCTCGAAAAATATTTACTTTTGTACCGTAAGCGACGATCAACTCTACCGTTGCGAAAAGATTAACATTTAACAGCGATATGTACCTGTATGTGTGCCTGTATGTGCTTATCCACGTTCGCCTTGTTCGAACAATAGGAGTTGCATTCTCGGCAATAATAATATTTCGATCCGTCAGGATTGACAGTGATTTTGATCTCGCCTATTTTCGCACGAAACGATTTCCATTTTTTCTCTATTTTCGGTGGGTCAGTTTGCACTTGTTGTTCCACTTTAATGACTGGTTGCGGATTGCTCTCGTTCTCCTGCTCGTTTTCCAAGTGTACGTTCAAATCCACTGGAACCACCAGCATCGAATCGACATTCGCCAAACTGCTGCTGTTCTGCGACTGAGCATTCCGGAATATCGGCACACTGGGTATATTCAGAATATTACTTTGCAGATGCTCCACTTTCCGCTCCTCCTCTTTCTCCCTTATCTGTGGCCCCTTATGTCTCACCAGGTGTTGCAGCATTTGTGATAATAGAGGATCACTGCACCACTTTGAAGGCTCAGTCATGATGTTTGCTGTATTACATTGCAGCTGCTGCTCAAATTGAGTCTGTGCATCCTGTAACACGTATATACAAATATTTCCTCGAAATCTACCAAGAATGAGAGAAACGAGAAGAAAGAAAAGAAAGTTCAACGGAAGATGCTACAGCACAAAAAATATTACCATCTTTTGGCCGGTGATCGCTGACATAACTGGTGTCTCCTGAGACTGCATATTCCCGCCACTATTGCACTCCGGGAAAGAGTTGACGTTCGAGCCCGCTTGGATGGCCATTTCTAAGAGCGGCGTTGTAACCTGGACGCTCGACAGGTCGACTATTTGCTCCTCCGAGAAGTTCATAATGCAGCGTAAGCGCAGCAAACGAAACTGAAACGCGCGCGTCCCTAACCTAACGATGCGGTTAGATCCAATCTCCTCGAGTCGTATTGAGTCTGGTTCGGTTTGATCAAATCAGGTAAATTCGGGTGAGGTTAGGCCAAGCCAGATCCAAATCTCGTGCTACATTCGACGCTGAATCGAACGTCACCGGCGATTTGTGATCCCGCGCATCAATGCGAAATTTCGCGGTGTACTTTAATTAAATAAATACCGTAACGTACGGAACACATAGCAAGTATAACTCACATATGGCTACGTTCCATGTGACCAATGCGAAAGCGCGTGCCGCTTGCAACTTTCTGTAACTATGGCTGCGTTCCAATATTTTCTACCGAGGCTCGTTCCAAAACCCTACTTGACGCTTTGAGTTGTATTTAATTAACCAGTCGGAATAAAAAGAGCAAAGATTTCTTTCCCTCGGTCTACAATGGATGTTTTAAGCACTAAGCCTTAAGAAATTAACCAATCACAGTTGAATTGTGAGAGGGAAATCAATTATGATTGGTCAATTTCTTACGGCTTAAAGATTACTATACCACTATTTATTGTAAATCGGGACCATCACATTTGGTCTGTTCTTTAAAGATGCATTAATGAACTGGTGACATAAATTAGAATGGGATAAGAGGTTTGTTCGCGTTACTTGCACTTTTGATACTTTTGCACTAATGTCCGTTGCACAATGCGATGAGCGATATCCAATGACAGCTCTTTTTTTTAAACAGTGGCCAATGTGCAAGGGATGTTAGGTGTAAAAGTGTCAAAAGTGCAAGCAACACAAACAGACCTAAGTATATTTTGTCTCGCTCTAACTTATTATACCAGTTCAGTAGTGCTATTACAAAGAACAGACCAATTGATAGAAGGACGACATGAAGTCAATGAATGAGCGGAAATCACCCGATATTTGATTCCTATGGGAATTTAATAGTGCAAGATGTTCAAGGTGAGTAATTAAATTGGCAATGAAACCATATGAAATTGTAAAATTCGAATTGCTTTTGCATTGAAGCGTACGGAAATTCTCGACACACGAAGGCACACAGTACCTTCACTACTTTTCCACCAAAAATACACCACAAGTGAAATTTCCGAACATAGCTTTACTGTTGTCATATGAAATAGAACGGACATAAACCAAGCAACTTTACCACTTTACCATTGGAAAGTATAACGAACGTAATTTACATGCACCATGTAAAACTCGTATCAGACTATGGATTGCCGATTGAGATTGAGATTGAGTTTGGCTAATCAATACAAAGTTAATTGAATTCAAGTTTAGTAAAATTTAGTGAACTTTGTACTGATTGGTCAATTTTCAATTCAATCTCAATCCCCAATCCGTAGTTTGATATGAGCTTAACGGGGCGTATCGAAAATAGAGTAGTCCCGTGAGAAACTTCAGGATGGTCGCTCTCAGGTTTGTCTCTGATATAGTATTAAAATTTAGTAACATTAGGAGAACTGCCCACATAGGAATTTGAAAATCGAGAAGAATAATCGATCTTTTAATCAAAAGAAAGAATCGAACATTTGATGGACAATGAAATTTTGAAAAATTGTTCTCACATTCCTGAGTAATTTGTAACAACATATTTCTAATGATTGTGTTTTTAATATCGAAACATGTGTAAAATACATTGTACATGGATTTGGTAAAAGACGCGGAAATGAGGGCGTTACGTTGATTATAACCATCGTTGACGAGTTTGTTGTAAATAATAGTTAAAAATAAAATAGTGATTAAGATATAATGTAAATATAATATTAGGTTAAGTTAAGGTTAGGATACTCCTTCAAACAATTATTACATGTGTGAGCGTATGTATGTGTTGCATTTATAAAAACAAAATATTTGAGGAAATTTCTGTCATAACTATATGCCTTTAAATTAATTTTATTTATTTATTGACGTGTATGCTTTACATATATGTTCTGATTTGTTATAACAATTGTACTTTATACAATGGAAGTTTTCCAATATTTAATATATTTGTATTGCAAGTTACAAACGTATGGCAGACAGACTCAACAGCAGCATAGAAAAGTTGCGTAAGAAAAGCCAAACATTATTGGCAAAAGTTGATGAAAATTCCAAGAGAGTTGATGAAGAAGTGAAGAAATTGCGTTCGCAAATATTGTAAGTATTCTCTTGTTTACAATCGAAATTGAATTGCATCTTTGATTCAAAGCAGTCATGTAACTTGTGGTTTTCTTTTCCTTCCCTGAATAAATCTTTATTCTCTCTTTTTCTTTATCTTTACAGAACTCTGATTAATTATCACAATCACGAGAGTCGAGGTGACTATGTAGGGCGAAACAATAATTCCTGGAAGTTACGCAACGACTCGAGCAGGATCAACGCTGTTCTATGCCCAGATTACTATCACCTTAGACCAAGACGTGCGATTGCTTCGGTACCGGACATGACGTCTGCTGCAAAACTAACGCTAACATCTAAGAAACCTCGGGAACATTACATGCCCAGGAAGCCGGTGAAAGAATGTTATTGTTACCCGGAGGTGCACAAGGTGAACCTGAGAACTCGACGAAGAGCTGTGTCACCTTGCCATCGGTGCAGGAGCCAATTCGAGCTCAAACCAGTCAAGGAAACCGTCGACAGAGCAGCCTTGACCTCGTCGATCAGCTGTGAGACATTCAGGAGAGTTCAGAAAATCGACTACATGCCCAGATCCAAATTCCTCCGCAATGTACAGAGCAGGCTCTGCGAGTGGCCGTGCGGAGGCCAAGGTGACTGTTCGCGAACGTGTCCTCGGTCGTCGAGTTACCACAGAATCATGACGGGCACGAGGATGCAGGATGTCGACTCTGATCAAGATACAACGGGCTCGATGGAAATCAAACGTGTCGAGGAACAGAAGTCTCCGGCAACTCCGAAGGCACCTGCCAACTCGATAGCCGGCGAGTCCGATCGCGATAACGACGTAGGCACTTCGAGCAAAGAAACCCAAACGTCTTTGCAATCCAAGTCAACGTTGAGGAAGACGATCTCCTCGACGAGACCGATATCGAGGTTACCGACTCGAAGTGAACAAACGCGACCGTGCGAGCATGATCGCCGTTCTTGTTGCAGGGACAAATCGGATGAGGCCGCGAGGCTCGTTGGAGAGGAATGTGAGAAAAGACATTCGTCAAGATATCATGAGCGAAGAAGTCGACGCACGCAGTCGAGACACGACGACGATTCAACCGGCGACGACTCATTGACTGATGATTCTATCGACCAAGAAATGAAAGTCCTGAGGAGATTTCGAGAGCAGAACTACTTCGAGACGCATGGATCGAGCCACACGCTGGCGTCATCTAGGTCGTCGGGATCGTTGGAGCAATATCTGCTGAACGAGCGACTGTTTCCGGAGCCAGTGGGCAAGATCCACAAGCAGGACCTGGTAGTGACGATGCCGCCATGCGCGACGACGGAGAGGAAGCGCATCCATTACTTCCCTAGGCACGTGGTATGTCAAGAGAAGAGTGTGTACAATACGAATTACAGGCGGAGACGACACCAGAGCTGTCCTCTGACCGGCCATGCCATCGATCTCGGGATCCTGAAAGTCAGACCACCGCTGAACAGCTTAGCGCTCAAATATCAGAAGAGAGCTCTTTGATGAGACGAAGGCGGAACCGTGGAAATCCTGATCTCCCCTGCCTTTTCGTATGACAGATTTTTGTATCGATACGGAGATAGTTTTCTATCTCGAGATTTACAATAACTAGACTCTAACAATCGTCATAACGTAGCTTTTATATGTATACACTTTTGTAAATAATAATTTGTGTAAAAATAAATTCACTCCTTTTCACATCTACGGAATATTCCCGCACTAGTAAATGTGATCTAAATGTTTGCTCGTACTATTGCGTTTAGTATCAAATTCATCGAACTCGTGCTTTTATTTCAGATCAAATGAGATTGTTAAAATTGTGCTTCCTAACGGCAAGAAGTTGTATCGCGTTGCTTTCATCATTATGTACAAAATACGAAATATCAAACGGAAAAAATAAACAATTTATATACAACGTATCTTTAAGACAGGAATGAGACATATGCACATACATTCATACATTAATTTGAAGTATATGATATACCATTATTCCTCTTCATTATTATATTAATGAGCAGTTCGCGTTTTCGTACGCAATCTATGCCAATAACCGACGACAAAAGTGATGTTAATCATTCACAATAGCAGTTGCAATAATATTGTTTTTCCTCAGGTTCTTGTTTGCATATTTCAAAAAGATCCTTACGCACATTTGGTTAAGCCTCCTGACTATTCATTGTGACTGTCCTTGTTTAATGATGTCAGAAACAAGAAAACGCATGTCAAAATTTCTTGCATTATACTTTCAAATAAAAAGATATGTCAAAACTGAAATTTGTGATCAATTCAGCATACTTGTAAAATTGTTGGATTATAATGTGCCTACAACCTTTCTGTATATGCAGTATAAACTATGTAATTATATTAATATGGTAATAACTCAATAAACAATACAAAAAGATTACAAGAACATTGCACAGACATTATATAGAAACATTGTAATATTTCATTTACGTTATAAAATGTTACTACAACGTTGCCGCAATATTGTAACAACGTAAAAATTTTAGGAACATTGCAAAATATATTATAACAATGTTGCATTGTAACATTTAAGAAACATTATCAGTAAAAGAGAAACAACCTGGTTGCTTGCTTGTCGGTAACCGCAAAAGCTGTTTCAACATTTCTCATGTTTTTTTCGTATCTCTGCCTGGATTCATCCTCAAACTGTGGCCTGGTTGGTCCATCTATTCACCCTAGTACATGGTCGATGTCCTTTAACATCGATGATTGGACGACAGGCACTGAATCCAACAACTATGACTATATTCTTGTCATTACATTCTATGTAATATTCTTATATTATTTCTTTCATTACTACTTAAATTTTTTATGTTATCTGCATTTATGTGGTAACGTTAATCCAGTTTAATAACAATCCACATAGCACATGTTAATTTCATATATGTTCTGTAAACATATGTAACGTTTCATAATCGTATTACATACGTTTAAAAAATATATATATGAAACTAACTCTTCTATCTGAAATCCTTAGTTAATTTTTGCACCCAAATGGCATATTCTTTTAAATTTAAGAATATACTTCAAGTAACGCAAAAGTTCGTTAATTTCAGTTGTTATTAAATTGATTTAATGAATTAATGTTACTATGTGATAGGACTTATTGAGATAAGTTTTCGTGGTTCTGCAAGGCGCGCGCCGTTCTTGCTTTATGCGTAAACTAATACACTAATTCGACCACTTTGAATAACAATCATTTAAAAACTATAATTCGAGCGGAATTTCGGTAAACGAAAAATTGCTTTGTTTGGTACCAAGAATGCTCCTCGTTACACGTAATTACATTCCGCATGCGGTTATTCGGGGATTCTGTATATGAGCATTTTTACATACGCCAAATATAATAACAAATGTTTGCATTCGCTGTTCGTTCGTGGTTCGTTCGTTAGGTATATATATGCTTTAAGAATAAGAATATTTAACTTTTTTGCTGCGTACGTCATATATTCCGTCGTGGAATGTTAGCTTTTCTTTTATGGATATATACGGCGCGTCGCAGTGACGCAGTAGCCGCAGTAGCCGCGAAAAGTCAACATAAATATTAAATATTATTTACTCCATTTATCGTGTTAAGTTTTATGTGATATTCTACCTTGCCATCTCAATATCACATGATTGATTCTCGTACCGTATTACAAGTGCGTTTTGATGTAGTGCGCCGCCGCAAAAAAGTTAAAGCTCATAACTATTTACTTAACTACAGGGTAATGCAACAAATGTTACCACACTTTGATTGTTTATAAAATGTTTATTAAATATTGTACAATGTTGCTTTCTATGTTTATAACGAACGATATTAGTGTGGTAACATTTTTTTGCGACGCCTGTATTTATAATGACCATCCTTGATGTTTATTAACTATTTATTAGAACACATATTCCCGGAATTCATAATACGTATTTTTTGCTTTTGACGTCATCACACAAAGATAATTGCAGAGAACGAACTAGAAGCTTTAAATTGATCGTTTGCATATCATGTCTCACAGTTTTCTCGATAATGTCATAAATATGGAAACGCATGCAAAATTTTTGCAGTGTACGTTCAGATAAAAAGATATATCCACAAAATAGCATTTGTAACCGATTCAGCATATTAGTAAAATGCTTTAAACACTTTCCTTTTGCTCTAACGATCAATAAATAACTGTAAAATGAACATTAACAAAATCATCTAAGAAGAGATTAAAAAGGAAGCATATCATGTATTATGGTTATTTATTGAACGTTAGAGCAAAAGGAAAGCGTTCGGAGCATTTTATTAATGTGCTGAATCAATTACAAATATTACTTTGTGGATATATCTTTTTATTTGAACGTATAGAATTCTTAGCATGCGTTTCCTCGTTTCATTATTTCCTCGAGTCATTAAACAATAACGGTTGCAATAAATGTACAGGAGTCTTAAAAATTAAAATAATGATAATGTGTAGGTTTAGATACATGTCCGGACTTTTACTGTATCGATTGTTCGAGTAAAAAAAAGTATTTGGACAATTTTATAAACGTGCGGAGTCGATCTTAACCTAAGTTAGGTGACTTCTTAATAAATACTTCTTAATAATAACTTGAATGATGTCTCCAACGTCACTAAGACGTCATTTGACATAATTTTATATGTGTTTCCTATTCCTGCATTGGCTGCATTAGCTTACACTAGTTTTCTCTTTTCCTCTCCTTCCCATGAAATCTCAAGAAAGAAAGGAAAAGAAAACGAATGTTAGCTAATACAGTCAGTGCAAGAATAGAAAACAGACTCGTTGTTGGCTGGGAAATGTCATTTTGTAGGTAAATTTATTTATTAGAACGTATAATCCCGGAATTCTTAGCACGCGTTTGTAACGTAATTTCGCGTTTTCTGCTTCTAACGTCATCACACAAGGATAATTCCAAAGAAGGAACTAGAAACTTTAAATCGTTCGCTTGCATATCATGTCTCACAGTTCTCTCTCAGCGTTCACTGACAGTTATCATCTGCGAAAATTGTTTGATTTTCCATGTTATCAACGTATCAACTTCAAAGAAAAGATTCAGCAACAATGAAAACGACAGTTGTCTTCTTATCCATGATGGTTGCAATCACGGCAGTAGATTTACATGAGTAATTGCGAAGAAACTGTTCCGTCACATCGACTGAAAAGTATTTTGCATTGTTATTTGGTATCGCTATTGGAACGGAATGTCTGAAGAGAAGTGCCGAGTAAAGGTTCTAATAAATTTTAGACTTTCCGCGAGTGGTCGAGAAAGTATAAAAATGCGCGATATAAAAAAATTGTTTTTAATTTGAAGAATATTGATATGCTGACTTGAGAAGAGAGTATTGCGATACCTGAACAGCTGTCTACTCCAGTCCGTGCATGATCTTGTTTTGAGAATTTGCAATGATTAAATATTAAATAGTAAAAATATTTCTATCTTATTCCACTTATAGTTACTTTTGCTGTAAGCTAGCGAAAACCTTATAATAACGAGTAAGGAAATTATTACTAAAGTGACGGCGAATCACTCGGAGAAACGGACAAACATAATTACAATATAAATGCATATTATTATTATTGTACGATGTCTTAACATGAGAGTGAACTTTGGAAAAAAATGAACAGCTGTCTGAGATTGCTTTTGTTATATAACGACGTAATATATGATAATGTAGACAGGTCGTAATCAACAGGAAAAACGTCTAGTCTGTCATAATGAATCGCATAATTCATAAGGCATTGGTAATATATTTTTTATAACTCTATCTTGCCGTTCGTGTGTCGCATTATACGTGCACGTTGCATATCTTTTCATACATAAAATATTACTTTTTTACTTTCCTTTTTTTTTCATTTTCATTCTAAGGACCTATCAATCAACCTGGTATATAATCGCTATCTCTTATTACGAAGGGATACGAAAAAAAACGTGTAATGCAGACCTATGGAAAGCGTAAATATGTAGCGGTTATGCAACTCATACAGGCGAGATAGCGCGCTTTATAGATGTATTTCCAACTATTTTCTACTTTATTCGTATTTCGTAATAATAATAATAATAATCTTTATAAACTGGAATGCCCCATTAGTATACAAAGAGAGTAATAATGATATATTAACCCTTTGCGCTCGAGGCCTTTTTCGCTCGAGCGAATTAGCCACTCGAGAGGAGTTAGCTGGTCCCGCTTATTTCATGAGTTTTTTACAGTTAACTTAAAATGATAAAACATCTCTGTAGCCATTACCTCATAAGATTACACACAAAGGGCTAGGAGTAGATTCGTGAAGCGATATTCGTTAGGCCAAATATAAATAAACAACGTTATCGCTCGATTTTCCACCTCGATCCGAGTGGTGCCTGAGAAGCACCGCTCGAGATGTCGCATCATATCCAGTGGTGCCTGAGAGGCACCTCTCGAGCACAAAGGGTTAAACTATCGCAGAGAGACAGATACATAAGTTAGAACAGATGGATACGTGAATAATATGTGATCAGTAACAGACATAACTATTTGATTGCACGTTGAGTAGAATATTTGAAACAGTTAGTGACAAGCAATATTTAATATTTAAATGAAGGCAGTTTCTTCTGTACCAATTTTCAAGTTTTAATAAATCCTCTTACAATAGAGAATAACTATAATATATGATTAGATTCGACATAAAATGTCCCTTTATTTAATGGAAAAAAATTATATAGTTTATGAAAGAAATGAAGAGTGCGAATATGTTAAGAATTAAAACATTTTCGAAAAATCTGGAAACATTATTGTAAAATACTCTTCGAGACTATCGATTTTTATTGAAAACAAAATTCCATTTATAATACTTTTGAAAAAAAAATCGATTTTTTTAAAAATAACGTTGTATTCTCTAAAAGTGCGTTCAAGCAAATATAAAAAAATATAATTCCCCTATTTTGGTTTATATTTCAACATATTAACGCATCGAAACCGTACGTTATTAATTATGTAACAAATTATATAAAATTAGTTATCCCCCCATTTGCTAATGGTTTCAAAATTTGTAAGCTATCGGATCCGGATATCATTAAATGTTTCTCCGAGGCTATCACAGTAGCATTGAGTGTTTTAGCTAACGTTAAGTACATTTATGTTACTTTTTACCGCGCGGTACGATACTATTCATGAAAAGAGATTTTTTGAGAGGAATAGATTGATGTAAGAAAAAAACAATAAACCGATTCCATTTCATTTTACTGATACACTAATACTAAATTATATGTAAAAATTGATAACAACAATAGATTTCTTTCAATATTCTATGTAGGAAAATATTCACATAATATCATTGAAATGAATACTTCATGAGATATTTCGGTCTTATATTACTTAACTAGATATTTATAATATTTTGAGATATTTTATACTGTAATAGTACCAGAACAAAATATAAAAATTGTTGAGATAGTATTTACTTTCGAGGATCTTACTTCGACATTTTACGAGTGACAAGTAAGAGAGAGAGAGAGAGAGGGGGAGAGAGAGAGGAGATGGAGGAAGAGGAGGAGGAGAGGAAAGGAAAAAAGAAAGTGAGAAATCGGATTATGTAAAAAAAATTTTAATATTACTATACCATTATGAACTGTTTTTATATGCTAATAAATTTTGAAAATAATTAGATCGTGCATTTTTTATATGAATCACCCTTCATAGAATAAGAGAATAATGGAAGAAGAAATCGGTAATAGTAATAGTAATAATAATAATAATAATAATAGAGATTGGAAACAGCAAATAGAAATAGTTGTGTTATGCGTCTTTTTAAAATAATAACTAATCTCAAATTATTCCGAGAAATGTATTTTTTTTCCTAACGCTAATACTAGATTTCCAGTCACAAACAATTTATGGCATTCTGCTTCTGGATACATCTAGGTGACAGTGCATTAAAATTTTACCTATCGAACCGCTGACAATCGATTACATGCGTATCAATAGTTCCGGTCCGGTATCGTTAACACAAGAATATCGGAATATGAAGATTTATGGACTGACGAAAAATGTGCAAGTTTTCACAAAGAAGTACGTAATCCTCACTTGCCTTTCTCACACCGTCAAACTTCACATTCACGTTCAAGGAAATATTACGGCCTTACGCAAGCCATTATATATAGTATATTGAAAAAATGTCATATTGTTTGTATGTGCGTGCATACGTGTCTGTATGTATATAGATGTAATCCTATAAATCAAACGCTGAAAAAATCTGGTAAAATCTGAAAGTTACATAACTGTGATGGGTTACATGAATTTCGTCGCAGAAGTTGTATAAAAATCGAGCCAGACCAACGATCTGATTTAGGGATTTGAACTACAAAATTTATATCAACAATAAAGAAACTGAAACTCAGCTATATGTATGATACAAATATTTTTTCAATTACCACAAAACTGGTCCAATCGCATAATACAAATAATTCAACCTTTGTTAAAAATTCCAGTAAATCAGACGATAAATACGGCCGATAATGTGTTGAACTTTATGATCGCTTCGTTTGAACTTATTCTACTTGTTCTACTATGAACTACTTATTCTACTATGAACAAGAGAATAAAAAAACCCGAAAATTTAATTGAAAAAATTAGATCAGTTGATTAGTTATATACAAACCTAAAATTGAATTTGTCCGACTCTATTCAAGTTATTTCTATGGATCTCTTCATATATATTACGTGTTATACATGTAACCATAATTGTTTTTTTTCCCATAGTTTCAACGTAAATACATTCGCGCTCAATGTGGTGGCCGTTACTTCTCAATTGAACGTAACCTGTGATTACGTAATGAATGGCAGAATTTGACTGTTGCCAGTTCAAGGTAAGGGCAAACGCAAAATGACGTATTGTAATTACCATATCATATTTTATATCTATTTTCATACATCCAAACATTGCGCGGCTGCATTATTCTTCACCTACCTAGCGACAAACACTCAATGCAATGACAATCATCGATCACGCTGTATTATTTTTCAGATAACACGACGATGACATTTGATGCAGAGTACGAAAGATATAAGAGACATGGAGAAAGTTATCTAAAGCTCAAGAAACTTAATTTTCACATTAAAGACACAGATATGAAAATATATTTCGAAAATCTCTTCGGCAAGGTTTCCAGTTTAGGTACTTTCGTTATGCAGCGAACTATATTATTCGTGTACATACAGCGTAATGTATGCCTGGCCAACATAACTAAAGTTATTTGTACGATATTCGCCCTTATGCGTAAATATGAAGATTGAAGGTTGCACAAATTTTTCTTTAAGTATAGAGATTGGTAGAAAGTATACACTTGGTTACAATACAGTTTTAACATTTTTTTCGAACGCAGCTGATTGTCCAATGAAAGAATTTCAGTTCTGGGAAGAAAAAGAATGTATAAAGAATAATAAGTTTATCTATTGACTTTGTATCAAACTAAATAGAAAAAATGTGTTCAGACCGTTTTGAAATTACATGCATATGACGCAGTATATACACAGACCGGCATAATAAGCGTAATATTACTAGTAACACAATAGGAAAGCAATTATAATTTCTTAATTTCTCGCATCATATTGACATATTTGTGCGCACTATTGCATATTATTCAAAGAAACGATAATAATACGAATTATTAATCAAAAATAGAAATGTAAAATATAAAATTATATTTATATGATACATTTTGATGGCCGTGTAGATATTATTATTAAAGATGTTATATCGGTCTGTGTAATTCAAATTCATATCAATATAAAGAGCATTGTGTAATAATCTTTATTAACATAAATAATATTTTTATTGCCAATATTATATACTACACGATTTTCAACCGTATAAATAATTCGTTCGTCATAATTCCAATGTGTTGAAACATCCGTTCGAAGAACGTAGCCAGTTTCTAGTTGTAATATTCGTAGTTCAACAATATAAATTTTGTTAACCTTAATTAATTTGTTTAGAGATGAATTATAAAAGTGGGACAATTTTATGTATATATCTGCTCCGTATTATTTATTTATTAATTTTTTCTTCACTTCGTTGATTACAGGTGAAGATATGAACAGATTATTAAACGAAAACTCCAAAACAATCTTCCAAGAAGTTAAACCGGCTCTAGAAGAGATCTTTAAACAGGTTATCACTGGAATAGCCGTTAAAATTTATTCCAACGTACCATTAAACAAAATCTATCCACCCGAGTAAGCAATTAACAACTTTGCCGTCACGAAAAAATTAACATTTAACAGTCATATGCACATGCATATGCGCCTTTACGTTCTTATTCATAGTCGTTTTGTCCGAATAATTGAAATTGCTTTCTGGTCAATATAATAATACTTCGATCCGTCAGCACCAATAATGATCCCGATCTCATCTATTTTCGCACGAAAAGATTTCAATTTCTTTTCTATTTTCGGAGGATCGGTTTACACTTGGTTCCACATTCAAAAGTTACAAAGGTAAACTGTGCTTATAATTTTCGAAAATTTTTCTTAAAATTTTAGTTGACTTAACAAAAAATATTAAAACAGCATAATCTCAGTTCCAAAATCAATGTAGAAGAAAGAAATCTGTTAAACAAAATAAAGTCCTGAACAATCTGTTAAACTAAATTAAAGTCCTAAACAGAAAACAGTGCATTAGGGATTGAGAATTATTTAATTTTGACAGAAAATTTGTATTCTTTGACAACGAAAACATAAAATTAGTGACTTTTTAAATACAATAATACATTTTTAACGAAGAAGTGAGTTCTTTCTGACACAGTTGTGAGCGCGTGCCACTTATGGCACGAACATTGGCACATGCTACTGCGCGCGTGCCTTTTAAACAGTTAAGCACTGATGGACTCACACTCTAGACCTCTGGATTGTGAGTCAATCATCTTAGAATTACATCACTTTGTCAATTTATATAAACGTCTTTCGTATTGTCTATAGTGAGTGTCTGAAACTTTTTGGCCAAGTACTATATATATGTAGAACGAATTAAACTGAATAAGAAAGTCATGCACCATTTTGCAAAATTTGCTTAAGTTAATGAGAAATTTATTATTTTATATGAACTAATGAACATACAGGAAGCGATATGCCAAATATGTATATGATGTCTCACTTATATGCAGAGCAGTATACCGGGTTACTGCTAAGGCACGCGTAAGATAATAAGAGCGCTCCATGCAACTCGTCTCGATCGTACGTACTCTTTCATGTGCACCCCTGCAGCGGCAAAACGACATACTGATTTACATGTAAGTAATGTCGGATCCAAATTTTAGTTTCAGTTTCGATTACGGCAATTCTCGGCCAAATATAAGGATATCGGTTTAATTAATTTATATAACCATAATCATAAGTTTCCAAAGTCTTTTTTGTGTTTATTAGACATGGACACGCGTTACATACTCGCCATTTAGCTAATTACTAATGATATGGAACAAAATCTGAGTTCTTGTAACTAAATATAAGCCCTAAATATAAGCACTAGAATAAAATTCGATGGGAAAAATATAATATATTTGTTACTGTGAAAACGCGTAATCTCCGCAATGACACCCAAGAATCAAACTAATTACTGGTTACAAGTCCCTTTTCGATGAAAATTTTCTGAGTTGTGAGTTCTCAAAGTATCGCCGACATTAGCATTACACAAAATTTGCCAACCAGGCAAAGTACACAGGCAGGACCTGGTGGTGACAATGCCGCCGCACGCGACGACAGAGAGGAAGCGCATCCATTACTTCCTCATACACGTGGTACGTCAAGAGAAGAATGTGTACAGTATGAATTACAAGCAGAGGCGGCACCAGAGCTGTACTCTAGCCGGACAAGGGATCGATCTCGGGATTCTGAAAGCCAGACCACCGATGAACAGCATAGCGTTCAAATATCGAAGAGAGCTCTTTGATGAGACGGAGGCGGATCCGTGGGATTCCTAATCTCCCCTATCTTTTCGTATAATGGATATTTGTTTCGATACGAAGATTGTTTTCTATCTCGAGATTTGCAATAACTAGATCTTAATACTTGTTATAACGTATCTTTTATACACTTTATGCTGTTTATACACATTTATAAATAATAATTTGTGTAAAAATAAATTCACTCTTTTTCACATCTATGGAATATTCCCGCCGCACTAATAACCGTGATCTAAATGTTTGCTCGTATTATCGCGTTTAGTATCAAATTCATCGAACTCGTGCTTTTACGTCCGATCAAATGAGGTTGTTAAAATTGTACTTCCTATCGGCAAGAAGTTGTACCGCGTTGCTTCCATCATTATTATATTAATAAGCAATTCGCGTATTCGTACGTAATCTATGCAAATAACTGACGACAAAAGTGACGTCAATTATTCGCAGTATAGAACAGTTGCAATAATATTGTTTTTTCTCAGGTTGTTATTTGCATAATTCAAAGAGATCGTTCGCACATTAGGTTACATAAGGCTCCTGACTACTCATTCTGACTGTTCTTGTTTTACGACGTCAGAAACGAGGAAACGCATGTTAAAATTTCTTGTATTATACATTTAAATAAAAAGATATTTCTAAAACAGAAAATTTGTGATCGATTCAACTCATTTGTAAAGTTGTCGGATTATAATGTGCCTGCAATCTTTCTGTATAAGCAGAATAAACTATATAATTCTCTTAATATGGTAGTAACACAATAAACAGTACAAAAAATGGAAAGAACATTGCAGAGACATTACATAGAAACATTGTAATATTTCATTTATAAAACGTTATAAAAAGTAAACATATTCCGTTACTACAGTGTTGCCGCAACGTTGTAACCATGTTAAAATTTTAGAAACATTGCAAAAAAATATCATAGAAATGTTGCATTGCAACATTCAACAAACACTGTTAGTAAAAGAGAAGCAACTTGGTTCCTTGCTTGGCGGTAACCGTAAAAGCTCTTTCAACATTTCGAATGTTTTTCTTTTGTATCTCTGCGTGGATTCAACATCAGATTTTGTGTCCTGATGGTCACCTCCATTTACCCATTCACCCTAGTACATGGTCGACATTGCTTAACATCGATGATCGGACATTAGGCACGGAATCCAACAACTATGATTATGATTATAGATTATATTATTATGATTATATTTTTATGATTACATTATTTTCATTACACTCTATGTAATATACTTACATTATTTCTTACATTACTACTTACATTTTCTATATTGTCTGTATTTATTCGGTAACGTTAATCCGATTTAATAACAAACCAGATAGCACATGTTAATTTTATATACGTTTTTTAAATGTATGTAATAATTCATAATCGTATTGTATATCGGTTTTGTAATGTCTTTCGAAGTTTTCCGATCCTCACACACATATAGTGTAGTGCGCACGCAGATTATACACAACTATATGAGAACTACAGTTTCATCGTCGATTCTGAACGAAAATTAACGTGAGATTTTTGGCAAAGATACTCTCTCGATGCATTTGTCGGTTCATCGAAGAGAAGACACGAGCGTATAAAAATATTTGTGGTTCTACTGAGAGGCGACACCGGAATATGTCTAGTATAATAGACCAGTGCGATGTCTGTAACAACACGCTCGCGCTCTTCATAATGGTATTATATACGTTTAAAGAATATATATATATATATATATATATATATATGAAACTAACTTTTCTATCTGAAATCCTTAGTTAATTTTTGCACCCAAATGGCATATTCTTTTAGATCTAAGAATATACTCCAAGTAACGGAAAAGTTCGTTAATTTCAGTTGTTATTAAATTGATTTAATGAATTAATGTTACTATGTGATAGGACTTACTGAGGTAAGTTTTCGTGGTTCTGCAAAGCACGCGCCGTTCTTGCCTTATGCGTAAACTAATACACCAATTCGACCATTTTGAATAACAATCATTTAAAAACTATAATTCGAGCGGAATTTCTGTAAACGAAAAATTGCTTTGTTTGGTACCAAGAATGCTCCTCGTTGCACGTAATTGCACTCCGCATGCGGTTGTTAGGGGATTCTGTATATGAGCATTTTTATATACGAATTTTCTCGAATATAATAACAATTTTTTTACAAATCAGCATGCACTAGTTCCCTCTTTTCCTCTAACTCCCACGAAATCTCAAGAACGAAATAAAATGGAAACGAATGCTAGCTAATGCAGTCAATGCATGAATAAGAAACAGACTGGTTTTAGCTTGGAAATGTCATTTTGTAGGTATATCTGTTTATTACATCGTTTAATCTCGGAATTCTTAATACGGGTTTTTTTGTTTCAACCGTCGTCACACAAGGACAGTTGCAGAGAAGGACGTAGAAGACGTTAAAGGTAGCACTTAAATATCATAACTAACAGTTCTCTTTCAACGTTCACAGACAGTGGTCATCCGCGAAATTTGTTTGACTTTCAATCTTATCAACGTATCAACGTATCAACGTGAAAGAAAAGATTCAGCGACAATGAAGACTACAGTTGTCTTGTTCTCCATGATGGTTGCCATCACGGCCGTAGATTTACGTGAGTAATCGCTAAAAATAACTTTTCACGTCACATCGACTGAAAAGTAACTTGCATTGCTATTGCAACGGAATATCTAAAGAGAAGTGCCGAGTTAACTTTCTAATAAATTTTAGATTTTCGCGAGTATTCGAGAAAGTATAAATATGCGCGATATAAACAACTTTGCGATATAAACAAATAGTTTTTAATTTGAAAATATTGATATGCAGGCTTGAGAAGAGAGTATTACGGTATCTGAACAACCGTCTATTCCAGTCTGTGCATGGTTTTGTTTTGTGATTCGCAATGATACATTTACAAGAAAACGCACGAAAATGTCTCTTTTCGATTCTGATGCACTTGTAATATGTTGAAATCTGGAGTAGAAAAAAGGACGTGTATTTTTTTATACGTACTGAAAAGTTAAATATTTCTACCTCATTCCACTTAGAGTTACGTTTGCTGAAAGCTAGCGAAAACCTTATAATAACGGGAAAGCAAATTATTTCTAAAGTGATGGGGAATCACTCGGAGAAACGGACAAACGTAATTAGAATATAAGTACGTATTTTTAATATTGTACGATATCTTAACGTGAAAATGAACCTTGGAAAAAAATGAGCAGCTATCTGAAATTGCTCTTGTTTCATAACGACATAATATATGATAGACCGTAGACAGTTCGCAGGTAACAGAAAAAACCATAGAGATATAAG